TTGGGGAGAAGCATTTTTCGGCTGCTCCCGCATTTTCCGGATCTCGATTCCGTACGTAAATATTTTTGTTTGGGAAACTGGCGACCCGAGTTCGCCACTCGCGACTGGGAATAAAAAACTACGAGTTCGTTAAAAAGTTCACACACAAATTGCATTATATCCGCGCTGCGATATATTGGCGCGTTTTTCATGCTTTGCGTTTTTTGGGTTTTTTCACCACAGAAACTGGAACAAAAGCGTAATGTATATGGGGCGTCCAACAAAAAACACCAGGAAAACCCCGAAAAAATTTTAGGGCGATTGTTGTGGATGTGAATTTTGCATAAGGACATGAAGAGCAGCACCCAGGAGAACAAAAACCGGAAGAAAGGGCCTGGTGCTGGTGCTGGTGTTCTTCTTTTGGTCTTTCATTCCAGCCCACATACATTTGTTTTTTAAATTTCCATTTAAACCCGCTGATTTACTTGCGAGGCGACTCTTACTCTCCGGGGCTGCACGTGGGGATCAAATAACTTGTGATTTTTGATGCCAAGTGGCGGGCCAAGTGGTTCGTTGCTCGACACCTGCAAATTAGTCTAAAGCACTCTGATTTGCACCGAATTTAAGTGTATTAAGGCATTAGGCCAGACCTTTGGGCCACGGCTCGGAAGTCCTCCCTGCCATGCGGCCAAAATGTAATTTTCTTAGCACTTTTGTTCACGCCCGACGACACATGTTGTGGTTCACACACCAACTGACACACACTCGCACTCCAGTATCAGTCCCCTTGCACCCAAGCCCCCCCAACAATCTACATCTAACCACCCACAAAACCCACTCAGACACCGATACGAAAACCCTCAGGCGGCATTTACATACTTGCCCCAACATAAGCATAAGCGCAACTTAGCTTGCCAAAGTTTTTTGTTCAACTTTCGTTGCCGCAAGGAAGATTAGAATAGGAGAGGCCCAAGGTCGACTATGAGATACCCTTCAGGGCTCTACATTAGTCAAACAGAACCTATATTAATCAATCATAAAGATTGCTTAAAAGGTATTAACTTCATATGGTCTTTCTTTTAGACCATTTACTAAAGAACAAAAGCTCTTTAAAATATTACTCATACGTAGTGTTGTTTTTTCAAAAAAAAGTTATGAAAAGATCCTGTCAATCAGAGTTACCCATCGAAAATACCCACAAGGAAAGAGTACCTCTTAAAAACTGAATGGCATATTTAAATGCTCAAAGTCCGGAGTTGGAAAGTAGCTTCCAGGAATAATGCTTATAGTACAATCTTCGTCCACAAATCGTGTGGTTTAGCTCGGGGCAGGGCCCCCGGATCCGGATTCAGATCCGGCTCGGGATCCGTCGCTTTGGCACTCCGGCAGATTGTGGCGAACTTAATCGATAGCCTCGCTAATAGTTGGGCCCAGCGACATATGTGAATATCTGATGGCTCTGCAATTTAGCTCCTGTCCTCGGCTGTCAATCATTTTACGCCTGATTGCCGTCCCAGCCGGAGGTCTTCCTGTATATCCTGTTCCGAATATCCTGAGCCAGTGTCCTTGGGCTGGCAGGCCCAACTGGCCGACAATTCATCTAAATCAGGGCAGCGACTCCAGTTCCCTGGGCCGGCTGCGGTTGCGGCTTCAATTAATTAAAACAAATTGTATTTGCCCATGGCCCTGAACCTCGGCCGGCTTGTGATGATGATGATGGCCAGCCATTCGACCTGGCCCGGCTTTTCTCTCTCTGTATACACACTTGGTCTTTTTTTTCAATTAATTGTTATTTCATTAGCTTTCATTACTCGCCGAGCTACCCACGCGGCCTATTAATGAAGTGGGCGCCCCTCGGCTCATCTACCTGCCTGGATAGAAAGCTTAGAGGGGGGAGGCGGCGTTATAATTTTCACTTTTATTGGCTTTTAATGAATGCGAAATTGCCGGGGATTATGAATACACTTGCCCATTATCTGCCGTAGGGCCATTAATTAGATTACAAAACGTTTTACGGGCTTTAGTCCGGGGCTTAGGCCTGGTTTTTGCTCCGCACAGCATTTATAGAGGTGTTTGCTTTACGAAGGTGTTTTGCGTTATAGTTTGGAAAACAGCGAGCAGATTTTGTTTTATAACTGAGAGAATATGAATATGTAAATTTTATATATGCGTACATTAGCCATGGTCGTTGCATCATTTATGCTCTGTGATGACTTTTAAAGCTGCCAAATTATTAATAGGACATCAAAATAAAGTGCTCACATTTGGACAAATAGGGAGATAATTGCTAGTGAAGTTATAAACTACATAGTTTAATTAATAGTAAATAATTTTAAATAGTATATAGTGGAACCCTTTCCGTATTAGCCCACTCGAAAGGACACCCCTTTGTGTGAAATCGCGAACCATAAGAGTGAGTAAAATCGAAAAACACAACCGGATGGTTCCGGTGGCTTGCAACACGAATGTGGCATTGTCACCGAGTGAGTGGTTGGCTGGTTGGTGGGTGAACCAGTAGGGTAAATGCATCAGGTTGACTGCCATTCAGAGCCCGTCTCATTGACTTGTCAAGTGATGCCATCAAGCCGGGCTTGTGGTCGTTACACTGTATTTGCTTGCTTGTTTGTTTGTCCGCTCGGTTGCTGCTGATTCACTTGATTCCCCTCCCAGTCATGGGCCTCCAGCCTCGGCATTCAGCACTCAGCACTCGGCAATTGAATGCCATTCTACATGGCCGGGCACTCCGGTGGGTCTCCTTGTTTGGGTCCTGAATATCCTGCCTGCTTGCCGACTGTCTCTCTGGCTGTCTGTCAGCCCATTCAACACTTTGCCGGGCAAACAATTGCATTCATTGACTGACTTGCATTACGGTGAGCACTTTATCGGAATGCTCCTACGCTCCCTTTCAGGGAAAAAAACGAAGAAAGTGGCAACACTCCGCTGGTTATTGCTTACTTATTGATGGGGAATCTAATTCACAAACTAAGCACCAGCGGCAGCGGCAGCGATAAGATTATTTCCTTACGGAGCCAGCCAAGCATGTCAGCTGACAGCCATTCAATCGGATCAGAGATACTTTCACACGCCCGCGCATTTCTGATATACTTTGACTAACTTTTAGCCTACAGATTCCCTATTGAAATTCCAGAGAAAAGCCATTTCAATTAGCGGAAAGAAGGACTTATGTTGACTCTAAAAATTAATGTGCAAAGTAAATATCTGGCATCATTAGATAATAGTTTAAACAAGAAAAAACATCTAACATCGAGCGGAGCCGAAGTTGATATACCCTTGCGGTTAAGATCGTTTAGAATAATTAGAATAGTAAATTAATAAAATAATAAAAATCTTTAAAAAAAATTCGCAAGTCCCATTTTTACCAAATACTTTTTCCGATTGTTCATTGCAGCTATAGGATATAGTTGACCGATCCGTAAGAAAATTGGTTTGTCGGATCATAAAGAATACTATATGAAGGAACTTCCAATTTTCTATATTCAAAAATCAAAAGTAGGTTCACTTCCCAAAGTGCAGCTATAAGATACATATATTCCCCTATATGACCCACAGTGATGTCTATATCATCCCCAATTCTCATCCGATTCTCAAGCGGAGCGGATTCTCTCCTCCATTCTGCATCAAAATCCAGAGACAAAATATTTTTTAGATTTTTTGTCCATTTTTCGTGATGGCCCACAGTGATGGCTGTATCTTTCCCAATTCTCATCCGATTCTGGCTCGATTCTCCACCATTCTTCATCAAAATCCAGAGACAAAATATTTTTTAGATTTTTTGTCCATTTTTCGGATGGGGTCCCTTGAAAATGGGGTTTCGATTCTCAAGCAGACTAATATATTATATATAAATTCTTGGGTGTATAATACCCTTTTTAAGGGTATACAAAGTAAATAAATTCAGTTTGCCTGAGTAAACAAAGGACATTTAAAATTCCATCTCTGGAATGTTTATTTTTCTTAAATTGTTTAAATATTTGTTCGTCATTGTCAGTCAATGATTTTTCAGTTTAGCCCTTTTTTCTCTTCTTTATTTATAAATGCATTTTGCACACAACTTTTTTGGCTTGCAACAATTACGAAAAGCATTTCATATTTAATGGCCTCGCTGTGCGTTATTTATATTTCAGAAGTGAGCAGCCTCCGGTGCCCGCGCAATGAGGGGCACAGCTACTCATCTCCTGTGGCTGTTAACTTTTAATTTCCTCACCTGCCCCACAGCAGGGGATTCCCCCGCACACATGCTCGGCAGGCAGCACCGCAAGCCGCAAAGGACACGCGGCAGACCGCACAGGACACGGCAACCGTTAGCCGGCAGCTCATCGCGGCATTTAAGCCCAGTTTAGAGGGAGGGCTGGCTGGCTGGCTGGCGACATTAGCCATTCAGATGAGAGGTTACCAGCCCTGGCTTATTTTCATAATTGCCGCGGCCAAGACAAGGGCCTGGGTGCTAATCAGGACTAAGGACGCTGGGATTGTGGCCCATTCAATAAACGACTTGATAAACAAATGCTGAAATGCTGAAATGATTACAAAGTCAACAGCTTATTTGCCATGCCAGGGACATTTCAAATTCTTGACTGTGACTCTGAATCTGGCTCTGAATCAAAGTGCCTCGAATACGCACGATTTCTTAATTATGTGTACACACTCACACACCCCCAGCACACACACTTCTGCGAGTTGGTGTTGACATTTAAGTTGGATGAAGTATAAAGTATCCTTTCGGGGCGGCAGTGGGAGATCCTGGCAGCGCACTCGCTTGTTGCTGGCGAAAACTTTTCATTATATTTATGATACAGCTTGACTTTTGTTTTGTTTGTTTAACTTCTTGTCACAACCTACATAATCCCGCTGCTCTGTTAGCCTTTCGGTTTCTCTCTCCCTCTGTCGCTCTGTCTGTTAACTGGGCCCACTGCGCAGGTCCTTGGCCAGGCTGCCAATTGAGTTTCGAAGTAATTTCCTGCCGCGACTGGCATACGCTTCAGATAAACGCTCGTCGGCCAGCGTGTTGGACGTGCCTCGGCTCTCGACAGAAAGCAAAGAACTCGCATCCGAAACCACAACCGAAACCCGTTTGTTCATTCATAAATTCGCGACCGCGTCCTGAAAGGACAACGACATCGCCATCGCGTAGTAGAACGTGTGTGGTGTGTAGTGCAGGTGTTTGTGTGTGTGTGTCTGTGCGGCGGGCTGGCAGGAAATAGCCAAAGCCAAGTGATAGGGAAACACACATAATAATTGCAAAGGACAACCAATTTGGCTGATGTCCATTCAGGTGAGACCAGAATTTGTCGACAGGACATTGTTATGGCGCCATTATTTTGTGTGATTTCTTCTAATGCAATTTGTGGGACCTATTTCATTCGATTTGATTCGAGTCGATTCGATTTGATTTGATTTTATTGTGTTGCTGAGTTGCGGCTGCCCCCAGACACCTGTACACTTTGGGTGTCCCGTGTACTTGATTTTAAGACGCCCAACTGGCCCATAAAATGCTTTCAGGGACAACTCGTGGCGTTACTCGAAGCTGTCCAAATATTTTATGGTCTACCACTTAAGTGCATAAATGTCCTTTGGCTTTGTCTTGGCTTTTATAGTTGGTACTTGCATTTTAAACGGCTGTCGTGTGTCTTGTTGCTCCAGCAGCTCCGGTTGATGGTGTTATGCTAAGTAATGTGCCTCGAAGAGACTGACTCGTAAATCTTTGCTGATTAAGTTGTTCGGAGGGCAGTTCAAAAATTTCCACATGCACAGCAGGAACTGCGAAAAGTATTTCTGCGCCAAGGAATCTCTCATGCTTTGCATTTTGCTTATCTAAATTGTTTTTCGCCCAAGGACGAAGGGAGAAGAAGGAGGCTGGCCCCATTAAACACACACCCCAGGCAGACTCACATGCCCTCCGTCTAGGCAATTTTTCAATGTCACTTGAAGGCAGCCGAATTTTGACATCAGCCATTAATAAATTAGTGAACATTCCGTGCAGAATCAGATGGTAGTATCACGTCCTGCTAATTGAGTGGTAAATGCGAGGATGCTTTCAAGGCGTCTCTGGCATGGATATCCTGCCGTCACAAATCAAAAGTGCTGCACGCAAATCCAAATTAAAAGAGTTGGCCCATCAACAGCTGCTCCCAGGCGCTGCTGCTACGAAAAGTAATTTGAGTCGCCTCGCCTCCAATCCTCTTCAATCCCCCGAAAGGACTAAGCTCGACGGGCCAACAAGGATGAAGGATGCCTTCACTTCCGTCGCAGCCTTTCGCAGCCTTTCACACATCTTTTAGCACTTTGGCCAAAAACTTTGCAGCCGCCTCGCTCCGGTTCGCTTCAGTTAAGTTCGTTTTGGTTTGGTTTGGCTCGGTTTTGTTTTCTATTCACACACAAAAAATAAATCCTCGCACAAACACAAACATACGCACAAATATATACGGATTGTATATGTTTTCCTTCAAATCTCTTCAACAATTCAAAAATGTTTACTGGAACGAATTTATGGGTTACCCTCTGGCTGGCATCTGTTCCAGATACATTTTTGTATCGTATTTGGCTTGAAACCTTTAAGGCCGCAATCATTACATTCTTGTTTATTCTGTGCCGAGTCTCTGGATGACTGGATGTCTGAATAGGCTTTCAAGGAGCCACGTCAAAGCACTCATATCAAATGCAGAACATCAGAATTCGGAATTCGGAGAAGCATAAATTGCAAGTTGCCAGCCCACAAGAGCCGCTGTTAAAAAATTAAAGTCCGTTTAAGTGGCCTGAAGTGAAGAGGCTTAAGGTAAAAATAAATTCCAGCCCTCCGATCCGTAAATAAACAGATAAATCAACCTGCCGAATACGCCTCAAAAATATACTCATTGAAAATCGAGCCATCTATCATTCGGGAAATCTATTCAAACATGATCTCCTCCCAGTTTCCCATACAAGATTTCCAGCTTGGCTGTCAAGTGGCGGCGAAGTAATCATTTGATTTGGATACGGCTCCGCAAATCCCAGAGAGTGTGTTATTCCGCCGTAAGGCAGGGTCTCCCCAAGTAAGTGAAGATATCTCCGCAACTGCCAGCCAGATGTGTGGGAGCTGTAAAGTGAGCAACAAATGTTTTGCATGTCAGGCTTCTTTTGTATTTTTCTACATGAATTTTGTACGCTTTTTTAACTCATTTTGTAAAAACACACGTGGCCGCAGGATGGCAAAAACACAAACTACCGAGGAACCGCCGCTGCCGGCTCCACCGGCAGAACCCATCCTCATTCCACGCCCCCATATGCTGAACTTCGGTTCGAATAATTCCCAGCATCTTTCAAGGTCCAGGTTTATGGTTCTGGTGTACTGCCTGGTGTCTATCCTGCTGATAGTGGCTCTGCTCCAGTGGGAGTTTGTTTCTCATTCGTAAGTTCCGTATTGTATCATGACTTCAGGGTTCAAAGGACAATGGTCTGGACTCCACAGCAAGGACCTGTCTGTGTTCTTCCTGGACAACTCTCTGGTGTGTATCGTTTGCATGTTGGTCTCGATTCCCCTCCTGGCTATTTTCCTGTTGGTGCGTAGGGTGCGGTACCTGCCGATCCTGGGGTGGCTCCTTGTGCTCGTCATTGTGGGTAGAACTGTGACAGGACTCTATTACGCCCGAATAGCTGTGACTCTGCAGATTTCAGGTAGAACTTCTGGTGGTTGGTATCTGTACCCTGGCAGCCAACTGCAACGGCTTTGAGTTCCTGGCCCTGTTCGGGCTAACTGCCGTCCTGATGGTTGTCAGTCTACTGATAGGCAGCTGCATACCCTGTGACCTAACCAAGCACGTGGCGGAGCTCTTCATCGTCTGTCTCCTGCTGTTCCACCTGGCGCTGTACTTTCTCATGGTTCACCTGCTGATAATCCCTGACATTCTGGTGTTCCTGGCCTTCTGTTTCCTGGTGGTCTTGATTGTTTGTCTGGTGAGTTGTATTCCTCCAGATAGTTCATAAACGGATTCTACTTCCAAGTCCTCTATAGTTCATCTGTTACCATGCCCAGTTGATCCGGGGCTGGGGGTACGCAAACTTTCCCACCACCGAGGGCCTCTTCGCGGTCATCGTACTCTTTTGTTACTTCTGCAAGATTCTCATGATTTTCTGCTTCTGGGACAGGAATAGGAGAGTAAAGGACCTTATGGAACCCGAGTATGCCAAGGATCTCTGCGATGACGAGTGCAATCAGGAAAAAGACATGCCCCTGTTTAATAAAACCTTCAATAGATTTGATTATGACAATGACGTGATCCGTCAATAAATTTTAAATGTGAGAGGAGAGAAGCTTTTAATTAAACTGTGGCAAAAGCCTCATATTTTTCACAAGTAAAAACAAATGTTTCGGCAATTAAGTTTCATTTCATTTGCTTTTAAATGGATATTTTTAAGCCCGGATCTTCGTGGCCAAGTGTGTAGTTGGCCACTTATTATTGCCGAGCTTATCCCTGTCTTGTTTTAATCAAATGGATTCCTCCATCTGGCAGCTGGCACAAAGGATTCCCCTCCTGGCCCGAGTCGTGGAATATAAATTATCGCATTATGCTTGCAGCTCGGCATTCTGGCCCGCAACGCCATGATACCAATTAGTGTAATTACCAGGGGACGGGTCGGCGAAATAAAAGTTAAAAACAAAAACAGTTTGTTGAATACTTCATGAAAAGCGCAGTGGACAGTTCTCCGCTCAGCGGTGGGTATTAATTTTTATTAAATTGTTTTAATTTTTAAGCAGCTTATGAATGGTGCTGTGTGGCTTCCCTGGGTCCAGTTTTTGACCAACTCGACTGACGACTGTCAGAGGAGATTGGGTCAGCATCACTTTGGCAGCAGGATGTCAGGCGCCTGCTAAGCCGGCTCGTCGACATTATAATAACATCCATCATTCTCTGGACCAAATACGAATGACAACAACTGCCAAAAGTAGCACAAAAATGAAAATACAAACAAAATGTCCAGAAAAAAAACAAAAACAAGTTGGCTTGGACTGCTCGCTGAGTAAACATGGCATATTTTTGTTTACCCGAAAACGTTTTCCACGTTTTGGGCTGCTGATGGGGCTTTTAGGCCAAGGAATGAATGGGTCCTTTGACCACAATTTAACTTGCCAATTTGGCGCCAACATACACTCGTCTTTATATATCCTCTATATAGCCAGATGTGTGTATGTATGTGTTTATGCATCCAATAATAAGCAATTTCGTGCACATAATTGGCAGTGGCAGTGGTAGTGGCGGTAGCGGTGGCAGTGGCAGAGCAGCCGAAACGGCCAAAGTAAATAGCCATAATTAATGTATACAACATAAATGTGACCTGACCGAAATACGAAAAAAGCGGTCGAAGCTCACGGATCGAAAATGCCTCGAAAAATGTTTGTCTTCGTCGTTGGCGTCGTTGTCGAGGAACAGTGGGATCGAAAGTTCAACGGTCATGCCATCGCATTGTGGGCCTAATGAACTTAACCGGCCTACGCTGATGAAACAAATCCTTTCTTATTTAATTAAAACATTTTTCCGAAAGTTTTAATTAATCAACAATTTTCATAAACCAATTAGATTTACATTTTCCGCCAAACCTGAAGAATTTTCCGGAATTAAATTGAAAACTCTTATAAGCAGCTTTATGTTTCGAATAAATTTTTCCATTAACCCAGACCCGAAGCTCACATGCCTGAGCATTAGGATAAAAATATAAAATTTGATTTTATATCTTGTAAGGAAAGAACACTTAAGAGCCTTACCACTGTAATCCGCTGTATATCGCGCATACGCCACGTTGTGCACATTTTAAAATGTGCAATAAAGAGCGAGAGGTTTCTTCATTGATACGCAAAGCAGCGATATGGGCATCAATATGTTGTGTATAATGCAAACTGTATATTGAGAGCCGAATGGTTCAAGTGGTGGCAGATGGGTAGGCGGGAAAGCGGAAGCCGGGTCTGGGGCTGAGGGGAAAAAAAGCATCAGCCACAAAATTGGCAGAAAACAACAGGAAAATGTATTTCCCCGGCATTCGCTGATGTCTCTCCGGATGATTGCGTTGACAAAATCGTATTGACGGCCGAAGGAGCTGCTAGCTACACATCCTGCGGATATTTGACGTCCTAGGGAAGTGCTTCCCTTTTTCAGTATTTGTGCCTGCGCTTGTGTATTTGGACACCCATCAAGGGTCTGGTCTGATTCGGGGTCTGGGCCATTCTCGTTATTATAAAAAATCATTTTTGTTGGCTTTTCGGGCCAAAAATCCAAATTAGATTTACACGGCGCGTCAATGGAGGTTTGGGAGGCGTCATTTAATTTTCATTTAATTTGGGAAAACACATTTTGGCGCTCACCCAGTTCGTTCAGCCCGCCCAGCGAGCTCTAATCAGGCGCAAAGCCTTTTTATTCTGATAATAGTAAAATTAAATAAATGCAAACTGCTGTGAAAATTTGAATTTGAATTTTGGGCCCTCGGCAGGCGGCACAAAAGATGTCTGTGAAATTTATGCGCTATCCTCCATCCCCTGCCCTAAGAGCGCGGTTCTTGAGCGGTCCTCCCACTCATTTTCGGCCTGTAAGCCATTGTCATTGTCAACCGAAGCCGCTGACAGCTGCTCCACCACTCCGCCCGGGTCTGGGCTTGGGCCTGGGTGGCCTTTTCATCTAGAGTAGCACCACCCAGTTGATGGTGTAGCTGCCTTTTGTAGCCTGCATTGCTGTGACATTTTTATTACAAGGGCCCATGAATTTTATTTGGGCCGCGCGGCAACGGCTGCCGATTTTATGGGAATTCCGCCCCCGCGGCATCAAATTTTTGCCTCCTGACCGGTGGGTGCTGGTGGGTCCGATGGGCACTGTTGAGTTTTGATGGGTTCTGATGGGTCTAGAGGTGCGGGTGAGCCCAACTATTCGCCCAAGACGATCGAAAAGAAATTGTTGGCCCAAAAACGTTGCCCACAAACAACTCTAATTAAAAAAGTTTTACGTTTAACCACTTCAGTTGGCTGAAACACACCCATGCCGGCATGTGTGTAACTACACAATAAAAAGTTTTGGCCAAGAAAAGGATATTATTTCGTTTAAGTTATTTAATTGAAAGCTTTTTTGAGTTTCAAACTCGAATGTGTCGATTTGCTAAGGAACAGTGTACTTTAAGTAAATAGTTTATATAGTTTTTAGCTGGGTAGACATGTTTAGAAACTTTTTAAAATTTTTTTTAAAGATACTTGAAATATGAAGTTGGTAAAACTTTACAGGGTTGTTGAAAGAGAGTAATTAAGTTAATGAAAGTGTATATTTAATAGGACATATCGTATACTCACATATGCTTTAAGAAAAATAACTTAAAAAAGGATAAAGTTTATTTAAAATGACTTCCCATTGATTTAGACTATTATTATCCAGGATATAATATATCTATAAACTAGATACTATAATTTAAATATAACCATAAAACACTTATCACCAGTGGAAGTAATGATTTTGTTCCGTGCAGCGTGTTTGCGGCATGTGAGTGTGTGGCTAGACAATCAAAACTTTTGCCACAACCGAGGCTTCAACTTCAAAGCAAAGACAACAGGCGGCCTAGGCGAAATGGCAAAGACACAAAAAGCGGCAGTAGAGGGGCATGGAAGGGGGATTGCAGAGGCGGCAATAAAATTAATGAAGCGCCTCGGCTTTTAGCCGCCGGCGGGCATGAGAGAGACATTAAAGCGGTTCGCCGGAACAGTTGTAGGTCATGTCATTGCCAATGTCTATTTAAGTATGCGCACAAAGGAAGGCGCTTTGCGGGAATTACAAGAGGACTGCGACAAGGATGAGACCAAAGCCAAAACCAGGAACAAGCCAGCAGGATCCGGGTAGGACGATTCCCCGCGGGACAACGGCCGGCTTTCAGCTTTCGGCTCTCGGCTGTTTGGGCTTGTTTTTGTTGATGGCGGTGGCTAATCTCTGATGTACACTTAATTATGTGGCACACTTTTTGATTGCCGGGGAACTTAAAAGCAGCAGGACACCCTGCCGGGCCGGGCCTGGGAAAAGAGCAATCCTTTTTGGGGCTGTCCCCTTTCGGCCATGTCATGCAAATTTCATTTGGCAAATGCTGTTAGCCCGGCACTCGTAAAGTATGCTACTACACTTTCTGACATTTTCATTTGACTTGGCAATGCAAACAAGCTCTATCTCGTGATAGAGTCAGTCCAAAGAATACATGAATGCCAGAGCCGGGTGAAAAGGATGCAGAGAATCGGGCTTAACTAATCCTGGCTGGCAGGTGCAAAAAGTTCCCAGCAAACTTTCCCCAGCAACGGAGCACCAAAAATTGTTCTTATCACAACTTTCACTGCATTCCATCAATTTTGCACCACTTTCCTACCTCACTCTCCCTGTATCTCTATCTTTGTGCTATATCCCTCTTTTTCTGGCCCGCCGAGGCATTGCAATAAAGCAATCAATTTTGAGCCACCACTTCACCCCGCTCCCGGGGTTTTTCTCCGTGGATGAGCGACACCTTTGACAGGGGCCAGGAACAGAAAGGAAAATATCGACGTGCTCGTCCTGCGTCGAGTTATTCAACCGAATTCGTAATTGTTTTTTAAATGAAACTCTTTGTCCTTGGCCGTGGCAGCCATCCGACAATTCAGCCACCCATCCTGCCCTCAATCAATCAAACAATCAGGCAATCAGACAATGTTTATCTTTAAGCGCTCGATAGCGACAATAAATAAATGAACACGCCAAAAGTCCAAAGTGTGAGTCCCTCCGACTCCCTCGACTCGGCTATTTTTGTTTGCATTATGCTCTATTTGCACATTTGATTGAATAAAGTTATATACACTTATCATGCAATGGAATGATTACGATTTGGATCGGAAAAGGCCTAAGCTATATTTAGAGGTTGAGCCAATCTTTAAGGTTACTCCTACAATCAGTAAACAAGGCACGGAAACTTCACGTAAATGCATTGCGCATACGCACTGTGAGCCTGATAATTCGAAATTCAAGCGACATGGCAGCAATTAGTCCAGCCTGCTAAATGATTTAAAAGTTGCGCCAAAACTTTGGCTCTCCGCTCAAAACTTTTAATTATTACACACTTGCGACTGTTGTTCAATTTGTTCGCGATGCCGGCAGATTATAAACTTCTGTCGAGTTCAATTATGTAGGCCATGTTTGTTTCCAATCCAACTTTTTAGCCGTCTTGATGTGCAATTAGTACCCGAAGAGCCTTAAATATGGACGAAATTCAGTTACGTCTGAGTCCCAAGTCACTTTGCTGCTAACTTCAAATTTTGAGTATTTTGCTGGTCGAAATGTTCGAGCCAAAATATGGCCTCTGGAGTTTTCTTCAACAGGAGCTGCCCGGGAAAAGAAGAAAGCACGTGCTCAGAGTTTTCGCGGCGCTGTCCGTCTTTCTGTTCTTGGCCTTTCTGCAATGGATGATAGTTTTAGTGGCTCTGCGGTAGGGAATTCGGAAAAGTTTCTTTATTTTATTAAAAACACACTTCCTAGTGATTGGAGTCTGGCCTGGTTTAAGAAGAACATCGTGGCCGTGGCTCTGGTTTATGTATTTGGTGTCTTTCTGCTGCTCCTTTTCGCCCTTAGCCAGCACCTGCGGCAGTTGTGCTTCTTTAACTGGCTGCTGGTGGGGATTATTGTAAGTGGATATGGTAACCAGATTCCGGACACCCAATCAATTGAAGCCTTTCGACATATATTTTTTGAAGATTTTAATATGAAAATTTGATTCTTAATCCTAACAGGTTGAGTGTTGTATTCTATCCCTGAGTACTCTGGTCGTCACCTCTGGAATTATAAAATTCTTAGTTGGATTTCTACTAGTAAGTCTGGTCTCTATAATAGCCACAATAGTAGCCGTCTTTCTGCCAGTAAGTGATGTTTGAAAATAAAGCCATGATTAATGTCCCAAATTACAGTGTGACATGACAGAGAACGTCCTATACTTGTACGTCCTCTCCACCGTCGCCTACATGACTAGCCTGTATTCGATTGTGATTTATTCCGTCCTCGAGGTGACTTGGGTCTTTTACATATTCGCGGGTCTCATTGCAGTTGTGGTGCTGCTCGTAAGGACCTTGCTATTTCCATATTCCTGCCATAACCATACTCACAAATCACTTGCAGTTCCTCATGTATCATGTGCAGTGCATAATGGGTGGCGGGGCGGCCAAAACAGAGCTGGCCGATGACAAGTACGCCGCCCTGCTTCTGTTCCACGAGTTCATGGCCCTCTTAGTGCTGACCCTGTACTGGCAACCCATAATGCAGCTCCTCCAGTCGAAACAATAAACCGGAGCCGGGTCCTATGACAGTCCTTTGTCCCTCAGGCACTGGTCCGGACTCCTCCCTGACCACTCGACATGCCTGCGACAGCCCCCGGGCCCCAGCAAGTGCAGCATTATGTGATCCCGGCACTCGATCCGCCCGTCACCGTTGCAATCAAAGGCATATCGCTGCACATAGCCCTCGACAATCCTCTCGGCGCAGCTGTTCTGCACGACGCATCCCTTGTAGTCTGAAATGGGAAATGGGCGAGTCAATGGGTTAAAGGATGGTCATTACACGCCGGTGGCAGTCAGCCAAGAGGGAGTGCACTGGGCGAAAAACTGTATACTGAAGTAAGTGCTAAATAAAGGTTCAGGTTCTGAACTAGTCTGAAGATACAGTTTCTCTTGCAGTGCATGCATTACCCTGTATAAGTGAGTCGTTCTGTGGCCTCAGCCACTGCTGGGCGTCCTGCCAGTATATGTGGGAAATGCGATAAATGCCGCAAGGCACTTGGTCGTTGCAAAATGCCGGAACATTATTCGTGGCAGTGGCAGCCAGACAGGCGAAGCACTCGGAGCTCATCTGCCGCGTTGGTCCTGTTTCTGATACTGTTCCTGTGGTTGTTGTTGGAGTTGGAGGCTGGCCAGCTGCAAAATGCGTTACAAAGTCAGACACAATTAGCCATGTAATCGAAACTATTTACCACAGGGTATAGATAGCTAATAAATTGCCAAGACAAGGCCAAGACCACATAGCCTTATAGGGCGAAACAAGATTGCCCATTTGAATAATATAATTAGTGCTTAGTGCTTCTTTTATTGGAAAAACTAATTGCCCATGTGAATAATTTTAATATAAATAAAAACATTTAATAATCTCGAATAAAAACCGCTGAGATCATCTGTCAGGCCGTGGAGAGATGCTCTACAGACGACGATTTTCTAATCAGTCAACTGAGGAATAAACAAAAAAGAGAAGAGCCCTCTTTGTTTTCAATTTCAAAAATAAACTTGTAGAAATTATCTAACAGGGAAGAGTCTTCCGAAAAAGGTCAGCAGTCCTTGCTGGCACTCACCTACTCCGGCCTCTGTGATCAGTGTGATGCCATCAAGCTCCAGCTCCTTCGACTGGGACACGTGGTCCTTTGAATGAAAGTGCAGGCGGCCCAAATGATGTTTCTGCCGCAAGTGCAAGTAAATGGATCCTATGACGAGCATCAGGGCGACGAGGATGGCAGCCACAGTCAGGACCTTGCTGAGGCGGAAGCTCCTGCGATTCCAGACACTTTTGCTCCGCCTGCCCGACAGCGAGAGAGCCTCGGCGTACTCCTGGTGGGCCGCCACTTTGGAGGCCTCGGTCTCCACCTCCACTACCTCAATCTCCTCTTCCGCATCCACATGTTTGGCCAGCTCCGCCACACTGCTGCTGGAGGCAAGATCACCCATCACCCGAGATAGCTTTCCCGCGACTAACCAGATTTGGTTGGGTTCTCATTCGGATTTAGATGGGAATTCAGGTGGTGGAGAGATAACCACGCTGATTCGATTATCGCTCAATGTTGTGGTGGCAATCGATGCCCCCGGCTTGCTGTTTTTGCTCTCTGTTTTTTAGTCGCCGCTTCAGCTAATCTGTGTCAGCTTTTGTTCTCCCCACTTTTCAATTTTTTATGGCACTTTTCCTATCACTTTATCCGTAGATGGTAAAAAATTGTGCAACTGTGAGATAGATATGATTTTTTCTATAACTTTTAAAGTCTAAAACTATAAATATATGTATGGATTCTCGTAAGATTAGGTGTCGATTGCACTCCGGTGCCTTGACGACTTGTGGCAGCCGCCCTTTCGAAGGGCGTCAGTTGGTGTGGGCGTGGCGGGCGCTGATTGTCGGGTGTCAGATATGCGAATAGCTGGGAGGTGTGGCAGCAACCTTGCGCATTTGTATGCGCGAATTGTAAACAAATATGAGAAATTGTTGAGGTTCTTGCGGCGAAATTGGAACCAACTGTGGCAGGGGGTGTGCCAGCAAACAACAGCAGGCACCCAATATATTGGCGGGGGCAGGGGTATGCTCCATTCGAAGTGGTGTTTGTGCATCGGACGTGCCCGGATCCCCTCTGAAGTGGCACTTGTCGAACACAAACTTACTTCCAGGCATCGTAATCTGTCAACAGTAGAGTGTGGCTACTCACACGTGAAGTGACTTCATAGTTGCCACTCCTTAAAGTCCTGGTCTCTCTGAAGTAAAAATAGAGTGGAATGTTCCATTCAAATACAATAGTTCCCAAAATTCATTTATAATCTAGGTGTTCTTGGCCCCCTTTTGTCGCTTTGTTGCCGCCACTGCACACATCCTGTACAGGTGGTGAGCAAATAAGAAAACTGCCCCGTCACTTAGTTGATTATTCCCACTGTTTTTCGTACAGCCTGCCACTGCCTCTACCTCTGCCGCATTCCACATTGCCACTTCCACGCAAATGTCGCCATTGTCTCAAGGCGTTTCCGTTGCCATTTTTGCCATTTTCAAGGCAAAAAGTCATTTATAAGAGTGTGTGTGTGGGGGTGGTGTGCTGTGTGGGTGCTCACCCACCATACATGGCAGGATAAAAGGACAATACGAGCCGCAAGCCTAAATCAATTATGGAAAATTACCAGTAGTTGGGCTAAATGGCCTTTATTCGGACCGGATGTGGAATCAGTTTCGTTCTCGTGCTCGATTTCGGATTTTATTTGGTTTGGGCAACAATATGCGAGGAATTCCTTTCTTGCAAATTTTCCACTCCGGTTCCCTTTGTGAGCTGGCATTTAAATCCTTCGTGGAGTGCACGAAAACGGGGAAAAATGAGCTGAAATCTGAACGGGTAAGAGGACACGAGGACAGGGGCACGAGTACGAGGGCACTTGGTGCACTCGATTATGGCGGTAACGGTAACGGCTTTTTCCGTTTCCGTTCCACCCACCCCCTCAGTCCCCTAGCCCATTTAGCCAGCACCCTGCCGGCACCACTGCATGCGATATGCATGAGTTGAGCCAATGCGGCCATTCCGGCTGATGTTCACGGGGCACGTAGCCTGGTGAAACAAAGTTAATTAGATTTGCGGCAAGATGGCCATTATGGCCCGAAGGGAAGAGGGGTAGAAGAGTGAAGCAGGGGGGCGTAGCCCTTTTAATGTTCCAACTGCAGCGAAAATTTTCTTTTCATTGGTTTTCGGTCTTGCCATTTCTAGTGGAAAATATCCGAAACTAGAAAATCATTACCTCGTATTTTTTTTTTGTTGGTGCCTTATTGCAATTTTTAATTGGATAGTATTGCGGTTAATGGCCATTTGAGATTTCGGGAAAATTGTGGCTTAAATGGCATGGAAAATCAATCATCCTAACAAAGAGGGATTTGTTTTTTAGATTTGAATTTATTCAGGCAAGAATATTAAACTCTGACCTTCCATACAGAGCATATTAAATACATTTTGGCAAAAACTAAATCCCACTTCCACCACTTAGGCTTGAGTAGATGCCACGAAAAGTTGTCCAACAAAGTGCCAGAAATATAAAGTATGTTAAACGCTGCTACAATCGGATTATACTAACAAGAAGTCTTCTTCCCGGATATGCTGACATCCTCGTTCCGGTTCGGTTCGGCAAGAAAAGCTACGGCATGTGGCACAAAAAGGATGGTTGCATTTGCCTCACTTTTTTGCGCTGTGTGAGCTCTGTGCGGTTTATTCGTCTGGAATGGCAGCCCGGGGCAATTACCGTGCTTAATGGCCTCCAAAATGTTTGCATCTCGACCACTTTTTACTTTTCCGCCCGACAGACCGACAACCGAAAGAGCGAAAGCCTGAAAGCAGCTTCTTTGTAACCAGCCGGCGTAACTTTATTTTTTATATTTACGAGCTGAATGCATTTCCCTATATATTCCACCTTTTTTTTACATCTTTTTGCAGTTGGCGGGGAAGGAGCTAATGCACTCTCGCCCGGGATAAAGTTGCTCCGCCATTAAGGAGGCTTCCTCGGAAGGAACATATGCAAATGTCAGCTTGTTAACGATAAACGACAAAGTTGAATGATTGAGATTGAAAATGCAAATTGCATTGCCAGGCAACCGCGACTGACTTTCAAGTACTTGCACCACCGCCAGTGGCAACACCGCCCGACAGCTGCAATCAAGTGTGTTGCCTGCACCACAAATTAACCCACCGGCAGTGTCGGGTTTCGGGTGCCGATACAACGATAAAGCGCCGGAAATGACACAGTCAAAATGTATCGCTGCAAAAATTGGTTTTGTGCGCGCAGCAACAACAACAACTACGTCGATGTGGCACTAAATGAGCCACCGACAGCAACAACTACGCCCAATACTCGCAACAGCAACAGCAATAACAACAACAACCGCAGCAGCAGCAAAAGCAATCAACAAGCAAACGCCACCGCATCAACTCACAGAGCAGTAACCACTGCGAACCACCCCAACCACCCGATACACCCCACCCACCCAAACCATCCGGCAAACGATGATTCCTCGCCACAGGCGCATGTGGTCACCTTTCTGGAGGACGCGGGCGGAGCCAGCGGGAGCAACGGATCCGTGACCACCAGCCGGCTGGTCACCACCGCCGAGCTGCACCAGGCCCACATGCTGGAGCACCACTCGAACCTGGACGCCATCGAGCAGGCCGATGACTTCATCTACGGTCCGGGGGCAGGACTCTCATTGTGCGACGACAGCCTGCCGTCGGCCAAGAACTGCTACCGCCTCGTCATGCTGGGGTATGTATTGCGTATACGCCGAGTGGGCAGACACTGAAAGAGAAAAGGATTAAGATAATACAATATTATTTATATAATATAACTTATCATAATTTTATAATTTCTAAAAGAATGGACAGTATTCTTAACAAAAAATTTTAAGTTTTTAAAAAAGTTATATTCGTTTTAAATAATTTCTCCAACTGCATCTAAGCCCCACTGGACTTGCGCCTTGTCCAGCTTGAATCTCAATCTCCATCATTGCCCTCTCAATCTGGATTTGCAATTTTCATTTCCATGCAGCTCATCACGCGCCGGCAAGTCCTCGATAGTAGCACGTTTCCTGGGCAATCGGTTCGAGGAGGCCTACACCCCGACCATCGAGGAGTTCCACCGCAAATTGTATCGCATACGGAATGAGGTCTTTCAATTGGATATTTTGGATACTTCTGGCTATCATCCGTTTCCCGCAATGCGTCGTTTGTCATTTCTAACTGGTGAGTGAGTGTGTGACGTCCGTCCTAGCCCTGAGTTCTAGCCACAAACCTCCAAATCCAAATAGTTGCATGCCTGTGCGGTATTATATTGGGGATGTGTGGCACCAATTGTTGGGAGCGCACGTTCCGTCACTTAAGTTGTCGACTGGCTTCATTGGGTGCCATTTAATGTCCTATAAATTATCATAAAAATCAAGCCCAGCTGCTGGCATCCAAACTCGGGCGGAAATACCCTTTCAAATGTGAAACAGACACCGCGGGGTATCGTGGATCCCAAAGCAGGTCCTTGAGGGCGGGGTTTTTAAATTATTTATTGGATCAGAACAAATTCAACAATAAATACCCAATAATGGTTATAATCATGAAGTGATTTTAGTCCCAGTAATAACACGTTATTTATCGCTTAGTCACGCCCTGATAGAAACCTACAGTATCACAAAAATAAATATGAATGGCACTATACTATATAGCAGGGTATGCGGCTATTGATTTTCCCATTCCCGCTGTTGATTTTTGGGCATCCGAATTACCCTAAACACACACACTCCCCCCACACACAACTCCCAACTCACATTAACATGGCCCAGATGAGCTTCAGATGTCAGTGGCGTTATATAGTGTCTGAAAATAGGGAGTGCGTAGGTCACAGATACTGGGGGCCATAAATAAGCAATAAATTTGCATTTGCTAAATCAAACGGCGATTAATGTGCTCCTTTATGGCTTCTTGCAGGGGATCTCTTCATCCTCGTCTTCAGCATGGATTCGCGCGAGTCCTTCGAGGAGGTGGTGCGTCTCCGCGAGAACATCCTGGAGACAAAGTGGGCGGCCCTAAATCCAGGCTCCGGCTTTAAAAAGAAGAGTCTTCCCAAGATACCGATGATACTGGCCGGCAATAAATGTGATCGGGATTTCAAGTGAGTTCCTAAAACCAAATAATATTTCTAGGAACAATACTCACCTCTCTTCTTCCACAGAACTGTGCAGACGGACGAGGTGATGGGCTACATAGCCGGCCAGGACAACTGCTGCACCTTCGTGGAGTGCTCGGCCCGGCAGAACTACCGAATCGACGATCTCTTCTACGCCCTATTTATGGTCTCGAACCTTCCGCTGGAGATGACCCCTAACCACCACCGCCGTCTGGTGTCCGTCTTTGGGGCACCGTCGCCCCTGCCCCCCCACGGATCCGTTGTAGGCGGGACCAAGAAGAACGCCCTCTCCATAAAAAGGCGGTTCAGCGATGCCTGCGGGGTGGTCACCCCCAACGCCCGCCGGCCCAGCATCCGCACGGACCTCAACCTGATGCGGTCCAAGACGATGGCCCTCAACGAGGGCGAGGGCGTGAGAGCGAGCTCGCGCTGGAACCGCTGCGTCCTGATGTAGACGCATCCTTTCAGTCCTTGGGGTCCCTGGCAGTGTGATAGTAGTGCAGCGGACAGGTCACGGGCCCCGGGTCTCGGGGAAGGAGCAAAAAACTAATTTTAAACGCAGCGTTTGGGTGATTTCAATTTTATAGTGTAAATACTCGTTTAGAGGGCCGCGCGACAGGTGCTGAAAGTTGAAAGTATTATAATGAATTAATTATGCATTTAGCACTTTATCGCAAACTATGGACAAAGGCAATGGCAATGGCAATGGCAACGGCAATGGCAATGGCTCTTGTTTTAAAACACACTCGAACATAATTAGTACCACTCACCGCTGTCAGCCCAGTATCGTCAGTCCAATATCCAAACTCCCAATATGCACTCGATGTCAGTTATTTGCTCTTCAGTTCCCATTCAATTCGATTCTCGATTTCCAACTCAATTGTGAATGTTATTGTGATCGTTGTAATTGCACCTTTACCTGACGCACTCGAACCAAAAAACACACAAAACCAAAAGCAGAGGACAATAATGTTGAACGTACTTGTTATCCTTTAATTTAAGATTTAATTGATAGAGTTGTTTTTGGCGTTATTGTTAATTGTATTGTTAAAAGAGACCCCACTTCCTTTCTATTGCCACTCTCTGTCTTTCGAAACATCGCATATCAGCCAAAACTGGAACCGAAACACACCGAAATCAAAAACCCTTGAGAGGGAATCTTGACCAAATCTAGCAAACCGAACTAACTCTACTGGAACACTTGTACACCGATCAAATCTAAAGCCTAACTATGGTTAACTATATATTGCTAAATGTAAAAAAGAAAACAAGAAACAAAAATTTATAGCGTTAAACCGAATTTATCCGACCTGTTCTCGGAGGAGATCCTGTAAGTTTACGATCTCCAGCGAGGTCAGCTCCGCAAGTTTAGCAAATTCGAGTTTCAGTGTACCCCTAAGCAGCAGCAACAATTTTCGCGAGTTTAACATTTATCAAGTATTATCGATAGAGGAACTAACCTACAAGAACTACTATACTTACAAGAACATATGCGTTTCAGCGCGGCTTGAAACCAAGACCAAGTACTACCCTAGCTATACAAGAGGCATAAATGCCCACCTAAGCAGATATCTATAAAGCAAGTTACTGAGATTTCAAGCATATTTTAGGCAGTTATCGTTAATCTAAAACCAAATCTAAAAACAAAGTGCAAATATTTACAAATTTCGCGTTGGGCCAAAGTGCACGAATATATTTAAACATAACATTTAATTAAGTACGTTAACCGAAGGAAATGAAACTCAAATGATTTACGATCAACTTTTTAATGCTTTGGATTTGCATTATTTATTTACATAATATGTATATTGAAAATGATTGAATTACGATTAAATAAAATTTAAAAACAAAAGTGGCGCCGCTTCAGAGTATTCTCAGAAGCTTTTTTTGATTATCTGGCAACCATGCACTTTCGTAAGTTATTCCGGCTGTTAACATACAGCTTTAACAGTACGGTACAGAATTCAATTTTCTTCATCGAGCTTTGGAGAGAAAGTGTTTGGAAACGGTGACGAAAGCTTTAAAGCATTTTCCGCAGTCTTGGAAAACGATTTGAAAAAGTTTGAAAGTGTTTCAACCGAAGAAGACACAACCTTACTTGTTGAAGTATTTACCCAAAATGATTCGATTTTTTTTATAAAAGGCTCCAAAATATTCCCGGAGGAAGTGGGGGCGAAGGTGTTCTTAGTCCATTCATCCGACTGGACCATTTGAAAAAAAAGGTGAAGGAGAAGAGCAGCGCCTCCACAGATTTTACCATCAAGACTACCAAAACTGGAAAGTCTAAAAGCGACTTTCTGTTCAACAGCCCCAAGGTGAAGGTCAACTCTAAGTAGGTCTCCACAACAGTCTCCCAATTGAAGGATCTGCTGGAGCAGTCCAGTGTCAGAGAGATTCAGATAGGTAATGTGGACCAAAATGGTCAAATAAATCCAAGGATACAAAGGTGACCAAGGAATCGAAGGAAATAATTAGCAAAATCAGCTCCAGGACCGTGACAGCTGAAGGGTACTTGGACAAGGCCAGCAAACAGCCATTTTAAACGGCTAAAACGTTATTAAAAGCTTAATTAAACAGCTTAAAAGCTTGAATTGCAGGATTAACAGACAACAATTTGTTTATTAATGAGAGTCTGTGGGCCAGCCAAACGTAAAATCCGTCACACCTGGCGTATACTTGATGCGAAGACACTTCCGCTTCAGGATTTCATATTTCATGTCAGCAACCATATGCCGTACACATATTGGCCCAGTTAACAAGACATTCCTGGCTGGCCAAAATTTATGTTTTTCAGACGCGACGTCCAGGTCCTAAATAATTGCCGGCGGCACTGGCAGGATCTGAAACAGAAACAGGAGCCGCAGGACGACTAACGGGAGCACGTGCACGTGGCGATGACGCCGACACATTTACGCCCAATTGAACAATGTGCAGGGAAGGGGAAAAAAGCAGCTCCCCGCTGCGGGGTTCCAGGGAGACGCGGGGGTGGGACAGGCGGAAAAGGACTCCATGTGGCTGGAGGGCATCCGCTCAAAAGTGCAGTCAATTTTAATTGCTTGTCTGATCGCAGACAGGGGCTATTAATAGGCTTATGGTTTGCATGATATACCGATATGACCAGTATCGGGGGCGTTAGCAGCCGCTCGCTTATGCAAGTGGATTGTTATTGCAGCTGGCCCCGCCACCCTGCCACCCCGCCACCTGCCGGGCCTGACAGGATGCTTTCGTCCTGGCCTCGATAATCGCTGTGGTTAGCCCCTAACGGACCGAACCGACCTCCCCTGGTACCTAATACAATTTGCATATGAAATTTCCGTCTACCAATTACAATTCGGCCAAAATGGATTAGCCATGCCAACCCCCCGCCCCCTCCCTCCCAAAAGCCAAATCATAATTTTAATTATGTATTTGGATACCACACTCTGGGCCTCGACTGCTAATTAAAAGTTAAGCATTTTAGCATTTCGATTTGATTGTTTTATTTGCCGCGGATCTCGACTAGTTTAATTAGCAGCTGATGGCAGCTGGGCCACTAAAAATTCGCCCAAAAATGCTGTCACGGCCATTGCATTGCATTCCACCTGACCAGGATATTCAGGCGGAGGGTAAACGCCGGTTGCCGAGGTTGTAAATATTTGCCCAGCAGCAAAATGGAAAACTTATTCGCACGTTTCCCTTCCAGACTTTGCTTAGTGCTATTTAACTATCTGTTAGGTGGGCTCAGAGGGGGCAATGGGATGCCCCCCTATATGCGGGGGGTTGGGGAGAAGGACTACTGGGCGCGGAATCGGGAAAAACTTTCTATGTAAGCGGCAGTCGTCTTTAAGTCAACTAAACCTATTCGCTAACAACAAGCGGGTGCACTAAAAAAAAAACCAGAGACAGAGAAGGAAGCTTATGGCCCTCAGGTCATAAATATAATTTTTACCCTTTTACCTTAACGAATCCTGTTTTTATTTGGCTTTTGAAACAGTTTTCCGCCCACATATTCGTGGAAAAGGACTGAAGAGCCCCGAAGGACTTTTCTCCACGTGCTGCTCCCGCTACTTGTGCTATTTGCTTATTGTGTTTGTAAACATTGCTAACAACTTGAGTAATGCCGGCGACAATGCCAGTATTGCCACTTGCCACTCTGCCACGCCCGCACCTATGCCTGCAACTGCTAATAGGGCGTGGGTGGAGGCGGCAGCGGTAGCGGTAGCGGCTCACCACTGCCTTGCAAGTTGTAAGTGCCCAAGTTTTTCAATTAAAAGTTGCTACCTTTTGTGTGTTACTGCGACGGCATACCATAAATACGCATGTGTGGGCCGCGTTGTGTGTACGTGGGCGGTGTGTTGGTGTGACGAGTGTATTTGCCGGCTTTTGCCTAATCACGATGCCACTGATATATCAATAAACCACAGGGCAGAACGACGGTGGCAGTGAGGTCGAAGAACCACCAACTGCATTATAAATCAAGAGCAAACCAGAAAACAAACTCCGACTTCAACCAGCTGGCAAGCACACAACCGACAAACAAACAAATGCATAAACAAACAATCAAACAAACAGCGAACGACAGGTGTTGAAGGCGAGGGCATTATAAATTCATACGAAAAAATACCGAAACGTCAAACAAATTGCAAGTTTTCAGTTGCATTTCCGCAAAACGTACCTGAAATAATACGTTACTGGCAACGCAGCAAAGTATGCAACAAAAGCGGGTGAGTGTGCCTTCGGAGAAGGTGTTTCCCTGTACAGTGGGACTTTACTGATAGAGTTAGAGTGAGAATCAAAGAGGAAAACATTAAAAAAATTAGATTCTTCTAATTTTAACATCCTTATAACACAAGAATTCAAATTAGGTCCTCTTTGAAGGAATTAGGTGCATAATTGATGAAAATTTTCTAGACTTATTAGCAAATACTTTCATAATAGGACGACGTTACTCATACGCCATGTGGTTCTACAAAATAGTTGTATGGGCAACTAAGCTAAATAAAAAAATATATTCCTCTATTTTGCAAAGCAATAACAATTAAATTTTATTTTAAATAACATTTTAAAGAATATCCCTTGAAAATATTACTCATACGCACTGTTGTACCTTGATATTTTTTCCCACTGTTGAGGGATTTGTGAGTGGGGCTTCTGTTGACTCCTCCTCCGAGGTTATCGGATGGCACAGCACACGGGCAAATTGAAGGTAGGCCATGTGGCAGCCCGGGGCAACGTCTTCGACTTGCTGCCTGCCGACTCCTTCCCCGTGTCAACCCTATAGTCTGCTGGGCCCCCTCCACCCTATTCGCCAAAAAGCTACCTCCAGCTTTTCCCGCTCGCATGACAAGTTGAAATGTTGACGGCTCACTGACATTGTCTGGCAGTGTATACGTGCCGGTGCAAGGGTGTGGGTCCTTTCTGAACCCGGCTCAGCCGCGTTGCATGCATGTATGAATGATATTGTGGCACGACGTGGCTGCGCTGCAAGAATCTCATACAAAGTTATGCAAATTCCGATTCCGCTGTCGCCGTTCCCGTTCCCGTTGCCAGTGTTGACGGGGGCCGTGGGCGTGGCATCGGTTTCTGCGGTTTTGGCATGCATAATTGTTGGTTTTTAGTTACACGTGAGGCGGCCGTGCCACTGCCATGTCCCCCACATCCTCCGCTCCTGAGGCGTATTTGCTCGGCGTAATTGTCTATCTTGGGTACGGCTTACATTTTGGCCGATTAAAAAATAAATGTGTATGTTAAAGATATAAATACATGAAGGGGATGGGAAATTAAAATGGGCTATGGGCTTGCATAATATAAAATTTAAAAATGGAGGGACCATATGGAAAGGATTTATATCCATGCAGGGGTGCTTAGCCACAACGGCTAGTAATTATCCATCTTAAGTCTCTTTAGACTCTTTCCCTGAAATCGAAACTAAAATTCATAGCGCCCACGCCGACGCATCTGCTCTCCTATTAGAGCCCATTCATAACTCTGCGCAATTCGAAATTCCCAATGGCTATGATAGATTGTAAATCACATGCGGGCCGAACAATAATCATTTCTCAGACATTTGCTATTTTCGTGTCCCGCACCTTGTAGGCAGTAGTCAGTGGCCACTAGTCCTTGCCAGGACTCGGGGCTATCATCAAAAAACAATTCTCTGCGTAGCGTCCGCAAAATAATGGACGTAGGGCCGCGCGGCTTGATAAGCTAAATGATAAATTGTTTTTATTCGTGACATATGTGTGTGTGTGCTGTGTGTTTTAGCCACATGTGGCAGTGGAGCGGAGTAGTGTGCGGAGGGCGCTTGAGCCAAACTTGTTTGGGATGCTGCCAGCGTAAGTTGTTTTGTGTTTTCCACCGCCTTCTTTCAATTCGAACGGAGCACACACTCGCCGCAGAAACGAAAAAAGGAAAAGCTGGAAAACAAGCTCTGGAAAACTTGTAAATGCGCTTGGGCACAAAAGTGGAATCTAATAAGCTCACGGCTAAATGTGTTATGATGAATGACATTGTCAGCCGCACACAGAATTTAAAACTTTCCGGTGCGTTCCGGGGATTGAGTCCTCGAGCGCAAGGCTTATAATTGAAAATTCGAAATACTTGGCAACAAACAGCGAAAAATTTATTTCACAGCGATATTTCGGCATCGCAGTTCTCTCTAATCAACTAATACAACATTTCGGCATTCATTCATTAAATTAAAATTTCATCCCGCTCATCTGGTTTGATTGCTTTGTGCCTAAGTGGCCTCCAGAATTTTCCACCACCCGTGGATGCTAATGTTGCGGCTTCCACCGGCAACTGGGAAGGAGGTTTCCAAGGAGGAAGGAATCCCAATCCCAAACCGAATCGCAACTGTTTGTTTGTTTGCCCCTCTTTTGCCCCGCTTGGAATCGCGCCACAAGTATCTGTATCTGTATTTGTATCTGTATCTTCAGCTATAGATGGAGAAACTGTATCTCAAAGAAATCCGTCGAAACTATGTTGCCTTGCCAGTTGCCATCGCCATTGAAATTCATAAAGCATCAATGGCCCCACCGAGCATCGAGGGCTCGCCTGCATGGCTCTTTTTGTTTGAAATCATTTGCTTTAATTCAAGTGAAAAATTATTTAAATTGGTTATCAAACGTGCTCCCGTAGATTCAGATTCCGATTCAGATACAGGTAGAGCTATAGGTATAGGTATAGGTATAGGTACACGTGCTTCAGACATTTATTCCGGGGAATGGGAAAATATTCTTTGTTTTTCTGTTCCAACCAGAAAAAAACAGGAACCGCCTTTGTTGCTGGACGGGGGTGGAAATGAAAATTGATTCCAAGCTAAATGAAAAATATTGATCAAAGTAATTTCTTGGCACTCGCCCACGTAGATAAATTTGTAATATTTTTTATGAACTGAAAAATGTATGAGCGGCATAAAATACTCGTATTTTTCAATGCAGATAGAAAGCAGTTGCGCCTGGGAGCGAATCCAGAGGGATTTATGGATGGATATATATTCTGCATATATGCAGTGGTGTTCAGTTTCCTGTGAAATAGCACTGCGTGTTTATGGAAATTAATATTTTAAGGCCAGATACTCGCAACCGAACCAATTAAACTCGATCGCCCATTGAAAGTCAAATGCATTTGATAGTTTAGTTTTTATTACTTCGTATTATTCAATTATATTATGCTATTATGTATTTACTTTACGCTTAGGACTAGAGGGTTTTGTCTCCACTTCAGTTTTGATTTCACTAAACATATGTATGTATATATTTTACTTTAATCGTAATCGCACTATATTATGTCATCGCCTCCGTTTGTGTCATCCGCTCTTGGGTTTATCGTTTAAATTAATACCTTAATTGTCGTTACAATTACATTTAATTACATTACAAATTTTGTAGTTGGAAATGCATTAGTAAATGCAAAAGAAATATTATTATTATGTAACTAACTATGCTCTGTAATTATAATTTAGTTAAGTATTCGTTATCGAATGACAATAAATTACGAGTGAGTATGGCTGTGTTGGATAGAGGCGTGTTATGCTATAATTTCATTATTCCATTACTCTTTACCGATGCATATAAAAACTGGCATCCAAACTTGGATTTCGATTACGAGTATTGTGGGATTCTCAGACCTACGAAAGGAGTAGAAATCGGTCGGAGTATCTATAAAGAGTGGGCTTTCTGCGATAGTTAAAAACGTTTCGGGTTTAGGGCTTCTTGATTCAGATTTCTGTTTTTGGGTTGGGAACTGCTGGATTCGGGGATTTCCTTATAATTTACACACACCTAGAAGTCTTTTGACAGAAAAATACACATTTATACACGCATATACAGAGTTATGTGAAGTGTCTTGGATCCCCGGGCGGGTTGTTTTTAGAGTGCACTGCCATACGAGCTAAGTAGGAGACTAATTTGGCCAGTAATGCGTAGGCGGAGGCAACTGGATCATCTGTAATCCGCCCCTAAGTATCGAGGGTGAGCTTACGTAATTACAAAAATTACACTTAGTTTCGGTTACGGCTATCGTTAAGTTACAAATTACAGATTACAAACTACGAATACGGTTCCTGCTTGTACAAAATTGTGGTTTCTTGTGGTTTCTGATGTCCTGAACAAAAAGTCACTCCCATATAGATCCACGATATATGCGTATTACTTTGACATACTTGGGTATGTGGCGAGTACATTGGGTATTACCTACGAGTAGTTTGTGTACGGATATATTAAGTATGTATTTATATGCAACTTCCATCGGTCTTCTGAGTATTCGTTCACTTTTATTTTTGGTTTCTTTTTGGAATCCGCTGATTATATGCATGGCCATGATTTACGTTTACATTCTATGTACTTGAGTGTGTGTTTCGTGTTGTGTTCTGTAGTGATTTGTTTTTCTTTGTTTTCCTTTCTTTCCTTTATGCATGAGAATGGTTTGGTGTGACTCGTCTGACTTCCTTCCTTCCGGCTCCGCTTACAGCCGTAAATTTTCTAAATGCGCCGCATACTCCTCCGCCGAGGTGAACTCCAGACTTTCGCTCTCGTCGTTGCTGTGACTGCGGCCATTGTGGTGGCTGTGAAATGCACAGAAAGAAAATATTAAAGAATATTTGAATAAAATAACAAAGTCAGGCATAAATTTAAGTTTTGACTCTTTTTCAAAATTATCGTAAATGTAATTTAAGGTCACCCAAAGAGAGCTTTTAAAAAAATTGTTTATAAATCGATCGAGAAAGTATATGCAAGATTTTGATGAGGATAAAAATTGTCGAAGATATAGCCATCGCTGTGGTCACTTTTTCGCACCCCATGGTTTTTCCCATTTTTCATAGTCCATCGGAAAAATGGACAAAAAATCGATCGGACAATTTGATTCCAGATTTTGATGCAGAATTAAGGAGAATGGAATTACAAATCATTTAAGGTATTCCGCTTTGGAATCGGATAAAAATTGCCAAAGATATAGCTATCGCTGGGCCCCTTTTTCGCACCCAATGGCTTTTCCCATTTTTCATAGGGAGTCCATCGAAAAAATGGACAAAAAATCGATCAGAAAATTTGATTCCAGATTTTGATGAAGAGTTGAGGAGAATAGCATTACAAATCTTTTAAGGTATTCCGCTTTAAAATCGTTTGAAATTATACCAGGCTATAGCCTTTCAAAGGGTCATTGTTTGCCTGGGATACTTCTTATATCAATTTCTATATAGACTAAATCTCTCAGTGCACCAAAGTTGTTTTTGTGGAAATAATAAAAAAAGTTGTCGAGTCATAAAACGCTAATGCCAAATCAATAGGACACGTGTAAATGTAAGTACCTGAGGCCGCCCACATCGCGCTTCTTTCGCTTGCGATCCTGGGAGAGGGCCTCGACGCACAGGACGATCAGCTTGCCGTCGCAGGACTGGCGTTTCTGGTCTAGTAGCTTGTGGCCCTCGAGGTTGCTGGCGTAGCCGGACTTGTCCTGAACGCTGGAGTGCCAGGCATCGCAGTAGGTGTCCATGGAGCGCTCACCATTCGGCAGGGAGCCGTGCCAGACCATCTTCAAGGGCCTGAAAGGTAGAAGTGTGTCATTTGTAGTCACCCTAAGATAAAAGTATCGATTGAAATCTTACCAGCTTGGATCCGTCATCACGTTCTTGCCACTGAAGCTGTAGATGCGCGGCGCCTGGGAGAAGAAGCCGCCCTGGCCGTTGAATATGCCCTTCCAGGAGTTGAACAGCACGTCGCCCCGGGTGTTTACCACCGGCAAGTCCCGGTCAGCCGGACGCACAATCGAGTCCAGATTCTGTACCCTGCAGTGGCCAAGAGCTCGGTGTTAAATTCGTGGAGTAGAAAGTTATGGCCACCATAAGAGCGCCAATTACCGGCAACAAACAAGACGAGTTGTTTTGTTCTGATTTCACCTCCCCTTGCTGGCTGCCTCTTTGGTAAATAAATTGCCAGAAATTGTTTCCACAGGCCTTTGTTTCGCCTCGAATATCAAGATTACGAGGCTCCGGGCCCGGAAACGTGGCGTATGAGCAATGGCAACGACTCTTTAGGCTTCGGAGCACAAATACACGGGATGTTCGAAACTAAAGCCTCTAGCCCACGAACAAAAACACGCCTAATACGCGTGAAAAAATCTAAAAGAAGATAAGACACACTCGCCGCAGACTTACCTGGAGGATAGGAACGCCTTGAAGGTGCCCAGGAGGCCGGCCCGGCGTCCTTGCCGATAGCAGGCGAAGTCAGCTCCCCGGATGCCCTGTAAGTCGCCGGAGGAGGGGTCGTTCAGGGCGGCCACGCGCAGCTATTCGGGATCCAGGGAAAGTATGGCATGAAATTAATGCGGAATTTATGTCAAGCATTTTAAGATCTAATTAATACAGAATTTAATAGCAGAAATTGCTGTTGTTTGTTTAACAAAGGTCGCCGAGGGCCTTGGGTTGGGGCTCTTCTACAAAATTATGATAAGTGGGTGGGTAATGGATAGTAAAATATTTCAAATAATTGTCGAGGGCCCCTCAAGGAGGCATGGCCAGCTCCTTGGGGGCAAAAAAAAAAACACACACAAAATGTAGGAAACAGGACAGGGCGGGTGTTCAAGGTTCTAGCCTAATTGAGGGACCAAAGAAGGAAGTGGAACTCACCATTCGCGGATACCACTGGAAAAGCGATAACAATTTGATTTTATTTTTGATCCCCGTAAAATTTGGTGGAAGACGCAGCATAAGATGTGGGACAAAGATATTTTTTATAATTTAATAAATCCAAATTGGAATTCTGTTCGTTCTAACACCGAAAAGCACGCACACACAAAATGGACAAAAAGGAGTTCTCAACATTCTCGGTTTTCGTGTGGGGTGGGTTGAGAACTAAGCTCCAAGGATTACCCGGAAAACAAAAGGACAAAATTCAATCAAGAAGCGTCTAGTTAAAAAAGCAAATCACACTTATATACAAACACAGAACTTGTTGGAATATTTTAAAATTTAAATATACAATAAAGAGACAAAAGCAGAAAACTGTTTCGCGAACAACAAAAAACTTAAAATGCAATTTTCGCTAATTAGAAATATTTTCATTGACCAGCAAACACAAAATCAAATTATTTATTCAACGAGTGTGTGCTACTATGTTTTCTTTTGGCAAAAATTATATAATATTTGTTGCTTTTTTTAGTTGGTTAGAAATTTTAGTCGACACTACGATATGCAATATTATGGATTTAATTACCGTTTCGTACTCGGGCGCGGTTGTAAACTGCATTTAATGACAATTAATTATAAATAGGTTTAGTAGGGTCTCTGGCTCTTGTGGAGAGTTTTCAATTATATGTGTTATAGAGTGTGATTTGTGGAAACAGGTGCTCCAGTGTCTTTTTGTTGCTTCCAAGGTTTGGATGTGTGTTAGGGGCTCCTTCGGCGGGACAAGGACTCGGAAAGTGGATTAATTTTAACTTCGAGCACAATCTGCTGGATGTGCTGAATCAATGTCATTATCCCGCCGAACAAGTGTGGGGGGGGTAGTGGATCACAATAAAAGGAAAAATCAAAGGAAAATCATAATTTCCAGCTTGGCACTCACCGTGGGTGTGTTGAGGAGGGGCGGAGGACTGTTCAGCAGGTTCTTCGACTGCAGGTCGAAGCGCATCGAGGGCGCCACAGTGGTGGGCGGGGCGGGCGTGGCAATCGGCACCAGGGTGCCCAGCTGCAAAAGGATAAAAAGGACACAAGACTCAATATATAATGCGAAAACGTAATTAAAAGGCAGCGAGACAAACAACAGGCGTTTGACGAATTCGTAATTAATAAAACAGGAGCTCTGCGCAAACAGAGACAGGACCCTTTCAAGTAGTTAATATTTCAGATGGAAATCAGCGCCTCCTCGCCTTGTTGTATTGAAACTTTCTCCTCAAATATTTGCATTACGTGTAGGAGAAATATATTTACATAAATATGTAACCCACTGTCCCAGTGCCTCACTCCTATTCTGCTTTTTCTTTCCATTGCCGGCACAGTATTAGGGTCAAATTTTCGACAGCCATCCCGCCGACCGACTTCGTGCCATAATGCGCTCCATAGCCGTCGCCGTCGTCGTCGACGTCGTCTGACAAAAGTTTTAATTACTATTTTGAACTTTAAGTAGTCGACTCGTGTACTGAAATCTAATTAGGATGCCGCCACGGCTACAAGTATCTCGGCAGACAGCTGTGTTTTCGGGCGCCGACGAGTGCGAGATGCAAATGCGAGGCCCAAATTGGCGACTAAACCGCGAGAAATAATGTCCGACTTTGAAATAAGTTTTTGGGCTTTTTTTTAGACTTTGAAGATGACATTTTAGAAGCAAAGTCTCTCCTTTTTATTCAAATATTTTGTACATCTTTCTCTAAATTTTATTGAATCCTTTCTGCATCCAATCAGTAGCATCCAACTATTGAATATGAAAGTAAGCTCCTTTCTATATATTTTGCTTTGTGCACTCAAACAGCCCGACTATTCGCCGAGATTCTGGCAACAAAGCGCCCTCTGCTTTGCCATTTTACTCGATTTTGCCATATTACTGAGAGCCCCCTGACAGTTCGGGGTCCTGTGCCTGGGTCCTGGGGTTTTGTTGTCAAAAGTATTTAAATGCTGCCGTCAAAGGCAAAAGATTTCGTTTTCATTCCGGGGCTGCCTGCCTTATGCACATGCCAGTTGCCAGTTTTCAGCTTCCAAAGTCAGGAGCAGCAGCCAGGAGGCTGGGTCACGCCCACCGGAGGCATATGGCCTTACAGCCTTATAGCCATATAGCTCTATAGCCTCGTGCTGTGTTGGCTTTTGTGCCCTGCAACAACGGAAGCGGAAATCGAATCTCGAGCAGTTTTTTCCAGATCTGCCCCCTTCAAATTCGGAGAATATTGTACACTTTGGCACAATTTGGTTTTTGTGTGTGCGTGCGGACTAGTTCTGGCCTCGGTTCCCTGCCCCTTCCCCTTGCCCTTTGCTCTCTGCCATTTTCCATTCATTTTTCATTTTTGCGATGATTTCAATAAAGCAACAAGCAACCGAAATTGTGGCCACTTTAATGTTTAACAAGCTCTTTTTTCTGGATGGGGGCAACGGATCCAATTTTCCGTGTAATTTCGACGGCAAATGCTGACCCAGGGAATCAGGAATCTGGGCAATAAAAGGCTGGCCTGAGCTGGGCCCCCGTTGTGGCAAGTTCACCTTGGCCAAGATTAATTGGCATGTGGCATCGAGGGGACGACAATAAAACCCTCGATATCCGTTTAATATTATTTTTAATCTGCTGCGGCGGAATTTATGGCTCTAAGGAGATTGGAGTGGGTGGGGGTCCAGCCGATGGCGATGCATGTTTTATATATATTTCATCAATAAATGTTTGCAAGCTTTGACTGACTGAGTGAGTGAATGACTGAGTGACTGACTGACTTACTGACTTACTGGCTGTGTGTATGGTGCCTTGTAAGTTGTCTCAAATTGCCTGCCACATGGCACATGTCTCGGTGTCTCCGGCTTGGCCTGGGGTTTCCTTGTATCCCTTAACCGGGACAAGTGAAAAGCCAAGCGCAAGTCAATATAATTGAATAACGGGACACACGCAGATACAAACACAAAACCAAACACCCATCCACCCACCCACACAAACACACGTGTGTGATGGACGGATTGGCAATCAGTCTGTACGTCTGCAACATTTAATGTGCAAATAAAAAACGAGTCGATACAAGGGCAATGCCAAACAAACCTTATTTTATGGCACATCCAAGCAAAATAAATAAATAAATAAGGCTTGGCCTGTCTTTTCTATTTCAGCCTGAAGTTTATTCAGAATAGCTCCTGGATCCTGGCTTCTTTTTTCTGTCTCCTGCCCTTATGGCCATAATGGAACAACGAAGCGGGCCATATAAAATAATAACCACCCGCCAGCGAGCCATCGGGCCAGCCAGAAGGCTCAACGCCTGTCATATTTGGATTTTTAAAAAAGCGCCGTCCCCTGTGTTTGTTTGCTTAGGAGCCAGAAATCAAATCGAAAGCCCTCGCCACTCACCGCAATGTACTGCCAGCCCTTGTTGACGCGAACGAGCAGGGCTTCCTCCTCGGTGATGTAGGCCAGCGTGCCCGGCGGATTCAAAGCCGACTTCTGCGGAAGGAGGAGACCAAAAAAAAAACATAACAGGTTTAAAAATATATTTTGGCAGAGACCAAAATTAACCAATCGACACCCACTTTGGTCATTTCATCGATGTTCTGGAAGGTGACGGCTCCTGGTACTATCTTCATGTTCATGTTCGACGACGATGCCGAAAAGTATGGCAGCTCCTCGCCCTCAACGGGTACTCCCAGGCCCTCCTCGTGCTTGTGCGAGTGTCCTGCGGGGCGCGGTGGCTCTGAAAGGATAATGCATGCGTTGAGGCACATCATATTGTGTATTGCCTGTTTGCTTAAATTATTTATAACCAAATGCTAAGTCACATTCGTGCCTGATTCTTGCAAGAGTGTGCTTTAAAAGCATATACTTTAAAGTCCATAAGAAATGTTCAATATTTAAAATGAAAGAATTTAAAACACACATTAAACTCATGCAATGACTAACTTTACAGATACAGCTAATAAAAACTAAGTATTTCCATTCCCATATTAAAAACCAAAGCTTTAACCATTCAACCATGAACTGTACTGAAAGGGTCGGGGAAAATATGCCGAATACTCAGCATTTTTGGTTATTGCCAACTAAAATGTGTAATATCTTTTTGGGGGGCCATGAGTCGCGGGTTTGCCGGAAAAGATGCCGGAAAAGTCATGACGGTGTGAAAATACTCGCATAAAGAAAATGTTTACACCTTGTACTCTATCAACGGAAAATGAGTTAATGATGATGTGCAAATATGAGGCGTTTATGAAGGCATTCCGTGTAAATGAAGGTATGCTGGCTAGGAATGGAAGGCAATTAGCCGTTGCCTCCGTAAGGGGGAAAATGTGGGGAAAGGGGGTCATGCAACATGCCGCATGCCACAGGACACAGGCCACAGGACAAAGGCCACAGGCGTGTCTACTACAAATATATAGTAAAGGCTGGATGGAGTTGAGATTGTTAGTTAGTAGAGTTCGGTTACCGGCGGTGCCATCGGGCCGATCGCGCAGATCCTGCAGCTCTCGCAGAGCCTTGAGTTCGTCCAAGGATGAGCGAGCACCTTGATGACGATAGTACGATACAAATGATATGGTTGATATAGGTTGGATCAAGTCAGGAGTTAGGAGAATGCTTTACAGATATATGTAGGTGACTAGCTAACTAACTTACACCTCATGTATTTACAGCCAAACAGGGCCACTCTTTCGGCCAATCTCACCTGGTCGTCCATAGTAGGAGGCGTCGCCGAAGAAGCTGCTCCGCGAATCCATTCCGGGCTCTCCCTTGGGTCCCGAGATGGAAAGTCCTGGCAGGCCGGGTGGTCCCGGAGGACCCGGCGGTCCTGGCATTGGGATGTACTGTACTCCGCCGCTGCTGTCCCCGTCGCCACCACCGCCGGCTGGAAGTCCTGGTGGTCCTGGCAGGCCATCGCGTCCGTCCTGGCCCCGGTCGCCCTTGTCTCCCTTCACCTGCGAACGAATTTCAGCCATCAGCGGTGATCCATCACAGACTCGGTTGACACACGGGGCGTATACTTAACATCGACTTTTGCCTTCTTTGGCTCTTCTCTCGAACTTACCCCTTCGCGGCCTCCGGAATCTCCCTTGGGTCCCTTGGGTCCCATCTCACCCTTGGGTCCTTGCATGCCAGGTCGACCCTGTGAATCGGGGATAATCAAGGATGTTGAATTGGGTCTTTACCGAAAATATCAATACCATTTCAGATTATTTGATGAGCAGTTTAGGCTTTTTCTGATTACCTGGTTGGAGTTTCTAGATACCCACCAAAAATCACTATTTGTGGAAAGTTTTGGAGCAAATTATAATATCATTGGCGGGCCAAGCCCACTGAGAAGTTTGCTAAAACAGCAAAAGTAAGGAATCGCACCACCGAGGCAACTTGAACTACGGCCAAAAATGGGAAAACTTTCGTCGATTCTGAAGTGCTACCCTCGGAGTTGGCCGGCAGCTCATGTAAATACCCGGCCCGCTGCCGATTTCTGGTGCCAGTTGGCACAGAAAACCATGAAACAGAGTATATGTAGCCGGGGGATTGGCGCTGAACTCTCAACACACTTCGCAGACAGACACGGAAAAGTTTGGCTCTTTGTTGCAACTGCTAAGCGGCGTTGTTATTGGGGAATAATGGCGGAAATTCCGGGGAAACTGCAATCGAAATCGAAATCGAGCAATGCGCAGTCTGCCGACTTCTGTCCTGAATAACCGTGATGAAAATGCACTTGAAATACTTTTCGTTTCAGTTTATTTCGCCGCCCTCTCAATTCCTCTTACTTTTCCAATTTTCTAGAATCTAGATCACTGTAAGAATTTCAGGCAAGATAATTAAAGATATACTTTGTTATAAAACTATCAGAACTAATGGGAAAAAGCCATATAATTTCTACCGGATTATTATTGAAAAACAATTTGATCCGAAAACCAAAGCAATTTGTGGCACAAAACAAAGTATTTTTTCCATCAGGAAACCCATCTCTTTCATGTGTTTTTTTTTCGGGGGAAATGAAATTGGGTGAAAGCATGTGAAAGTTGGTCAATCTCATGAATATGCATGGAAAGTTGTGGGCTTCGATTCTGGTCTCTTACTTACCGAATGTCCGATATCGCCCATGGGCCCTGGCTTTCCGGGAGGTCCAATCGGTCCGGCGGGTCCGGTGCCGCCGCGTCGACCCCGCATTCCCTTTTCACCCTTCTCGCCCTTGGTCCCGTTGACGTTGGCGAGGCCCTCGATTCCGCCGGGCTGGCCCGCCTGTCCGGGCAGCCCCGGCAGTCCGGGCGTTCCCGGCTCTCCTGGTTCTCCCTTGGCGCCGCTGGGCCCGTGGGCACCTTTGTGACCCTGCAGGAAAGTGGAAAAAGAAAGCCAGCGTGTGAAATGATTTACGGTCTTCAATACAAGTGTGGCTATAGGGATGTGGGTGGTGGCAAGTAGGGATGTGGGGCAAGGAAGCTCGGGATTCACAGGCAGCTCTCGCCTAATTTGGCCGTAAAACTCAATTTCAAACGTTTTGTCGACGACAGAAAAAAAAAAAATCAATTCAAACTCATTTTGAAATCAAATCAATTCCGAAATCCCGCACACACACGCACCACCGGAGAAATTTATGCACGCAATGGCTGGTGACAAGACCGAAAACACAAAACCATATTCCTTTCGGGATCCCAGCCTTTCAGGCCGCCTGTGTGTGTGGCAGAGTGTGTGGAAAGTTGCTTCCTTCCTTTCACCAGCTCCAGTCGGCTCAGCTCGACTCAATTCATCCCCAGCGTCGTCTTCCACATCATCAGCGCCTTAAATGGTTCGCCATAAATTTGCACGCGCCCACCCAGGCTGCCTTTCTTGTTGTTTTTTTGGTAAAAGGAAGCTGGGAGTTGGTAGCCAGGAGTTTGTAGGATCTGAGATGATCCGGCGGCTGCCTTCCTTGGGGTTTCAGCCAGACCTTCCCTCATATCGCCAACTTAATACCAACTAATGAATAATTAATAAGCCAAGCACACAAGTTCATACACAAAACAAAAAACAGGAAATGAAAGGAAACTGTACTAAGGAAACTCTATAAACAAACAAAGGAAACATTAAAAGGACTTAATAAGTATACACAGTTTTATCTAATATGTAATAATCTAAATCTATAATAATAAGTAAGCCCCTAGAAATCATTAGTTATGGGAGATTTTTTGACAGTGTCCTTGCCACATCGCAGAACGCACACGACTGCCTTTTAGGCCGCCTTTCAAGTTGGCTTATATGTGTCTTTTTTCGAGCTTAATGAAACGAACCTAATTGTGCGTGTATTCATACGTTTAAAATGCTAATTTCCATATTAGTTTGCCCGAAAATTGTAATGCAATAACTGGCGTGGAGTGGCGTGGAGGCGTGGAAGAGGCTTCCTTACTCATCCGTCGCCAAATTGGGCGTAAATTTATCATAAAATACAAATCGATTTTTTCGTTTTCTTTGACGGCTTTTGGGGGATTTGGGGTGGCTGTTTGCATAATTTCTTTTTATTTTACGCTCGATTAATTTTGGGTGTGGCCTCACGGGGGAAACTACTTAAAAGCAGCCTTAGCAAATTCCTTAACCACAAGCCGCATAAATATTACTTATTCGAAGGTGTATCAAAGGTTGAGTCCTGTGTCCTGTGTCCCGTGTCCTTTGGCTCCAAATTGGACGGTGTGTAATCTGCGACACCGGAAACAGACCACGTGAGAAAGTCCTTCAGATCTCCCCTCCTATTCGGCATAGACTTAGTGGCAGAGGGCACCAAACAGACTAACAACAAGCACATTATGCGAGTCCTGGCTGGCAGATTTAAGTTTTGAGGTTGCACATAAAAGAAATATGTACGCCCGCCGAGCTAACGAGTGGGATCCGGGCTCCCCGCCAGCCAGGGCATCCCAGTCCGAGGGTGCAAAGCCACCCCAACTAAGCTGCTAAATGGCATACAGGGTAATGGCTGGGAAGTAAGCGTCTCCTAAGCAGGATGAGCTCCCCAAATGGCCAAAACTTATTATGAAAATAATGCCAAACGAGAAGTGAAAAGAAACCGAAACCAAATCTGAAACCAAAACCGAACCAAACGAAACGAAACCAAATAGTTTATGCTCACTCCTGACCGGAGGTCCCTGGACCATACACTCGTATATGATCACATCTACTGAAAATCAAATGAGCTATAAATGCACACAAATTGGCCCCCAAAAGCATGGAGAGACAAAATCAGGCAACTGCGCCGTCAACTGCTGATAGAAATTTATGTCCCAAATTGTGTATTTCCTGCACAAATGACTGCGATGCCATAAATGCGGAAAAATCGAGGGGGAGGACTCAGCTGGAGCTCCAAAGAATTATTACTATCTATCAAATTGGCCACAATTGTGTTGAACTCGAGAAGTAATTTGGCAGTTGGCTCGCTTATCCTCTCCCAGAGCCAATAGCTTGGGCACCTATTTCTAAAGGATAGCGTGGGCAGACCGTAAGGACTCATATGTGTTTTGTGTTATAAAAATTTTAATCGCTGTTTAAGGGTTTAAAGTTTAGCCCTCTTTTGGCTAACCTTGCTCTGTGACCTCCTAAGATTATTGCTTTTGGGCAAAAGCAAATTTTCCTCGAAGACGATTTGCTCATTTGGGCGAAAGACGGACCCCATTGCCCTTTTTGTGGAGCCTCGAAATCAATTGAGTAGTCAATAGGGCAGAAATTATTATACGTTTGAAACAACAATCCTGTTTGGGGTGTGTGACCGAAAAACACTTTATAATGCACACACTGGAGAGGATATGGGGCTACATAGGGCTATAGGAGACTTGGGAAGGATATAGAGAGTGGGATGAGAAGGTGAGCCATTTATTAGACTCGCCCTCTGACTTACCGGATCGCCGCGCTCGCCCTTCTGGCCCGCATCACCTTTCTCGCCGGGCACACCTTTGGGTCCTGGTTGCGTCGTCCCTCGGAACGAGCCCATCGAGTTGACCATTAGGGATTCCTGTGTGTAGGCATAGTAATTTGTTAAATATTTGCTTGTTGTACAATTTATTTTCGATACATGTAGGCCCCAAGTATATGTATTTTTTCATGTTTCTTGTTTTTGCAGTGGCACTAGCAGCAGGCGGCCCTTTTTGACGAGGGACACATGCAGCCAGGATATACACGGCGGAAATTTGATTAATGATCTGTTTTGGGGGCACTGCCACCACCGCCTGCGTCTTGGATCTCTTGGATAGGGGCGGGGCTAATGATGCCAAGTGGTTCTAGTCCATTAAATGCCATGTTCTGTGGCCCCGACAAACCTTTTTCGTTTGTTTTTGTTAAGGATAAGTAGTTAGATGGTAGTGGGAACTTACGAGTAAGATTTTACGAGCTAAAAATGTTTATACCTTGAAGGTCCTGGTAGGATTCCAATTTATCTGTTATTTATGTGTTGATTGGTTATAAGAATACAATATTTTCGAAACGATTTACGTTTACAATACATAGAACAATGGGCGTGAAATTAGAGCGTAACGTTAATATATGGTTTCACATTCTTGGCGATTAAAGTATGTAAAACAAAAAGGCTCAACCCAAAATAGCAACTCTTACATCGTACATCAGACGTGCCTAATTGGTTTTTGTGAATTAAATATTTGTGAAAGTCATAAAAGTCCTGGAAAGTCGCCTGACAAGTCGTGTCAAACAATCCAAAGTCGTTCTAATAAACATAAAAGCATTTTATTCTTTGGAGTTTGTGGCTTAGGAAAGTCGCGAGTTTTTTTACGCCAAGGATTACGAATCTGTGGTACCTCGAAGTATAATTTAAATACTGTCTATACTATATGGAACCTAATATTTTATGCAAGCTCTGCTGACAATCTGAGGTGTGACCCTTTAACCAATTTCCCTGTTTGTATTCAAATGCGAAACCATTTGTCTAACATCCTTGTGGCGCCTCCCCTGAATCTAGGCGATAACACAGAGGGTATGCCGCACCCCCTCTATGGACGGCTTTTAAAAGGCCTCGCCTCCAGCCCCAGCTCCTGCTCCTGCTCAGGGGCGATGATAATGATGATAAACCCTCCGACATTAAACAATGGGCGGGCCGACGCGCCGACGAGCCGACGGGCGAGTGGCTGTCTGATTTTTACTGCCGCCTCGTCGACCACAAGTAGCTTGACACTTTCATAAACGTAACAGTGCGATAATGATTACGGCCCAGCCATTGCCAAAGCCAAAAGCCACCCACCCACTCGACCGGCCGCCCACTCAACGACACCACCCACAATTGTACCGTTAGATGGAAAGCGGGCAACATACGGCGTTGAAATGCGGCGATAAAGGCGAGCGAGTGGCAAAAAGAAAAGTTTCACTCTTGCATGAAAGGGTTCAAATGTGGCAACCAGGATGGTTTGGCTGCCAGGATGATGCCAGGATACCAGGCCGCCAGGATACCACCACGACTGCTGTGTTTGTATTGTGTGGGGGAGTCGGTATCTGTATCTGTAGCTGTGTTTGTGTGCGTGTTACCGCATTTAACCGCGTGAACTGCGCGCCCTGAGCTGATAACGGTAATTGCCACAAGCTGGAACACCGGCATTGGCATGTGGCATGCGGCACAAGGCCTAACGTGGCAGAAGGCGTGTGGTACGAGGGGCATGTTGAGCAAAGCAACCCGAATCCTCAATCGGAGCTGTTGGCTGCCTAAAAGGCGGCCCACTTAAGAATCATAATTGCACTGAAAAAAATACTCAGGACTGCACTTCAAGCTTTTAAATTTCCTCTTTATTGAAAGGGGGAATATAATCTATGAACTCCTAACTGTAATTTAATAATAATTAATGTAATAATAATTTCTCTCTGTGCAGACTTGGCTTGACTCCGACTTCATCAGAACGAGCTACTCCACCTGAATTCAAAACTCGGCTGGCCTAGCTTTTGCTGGCCTGGCTGGCTGCCTCGCGTGCTCGAGACGCTTTCGTTTTGGCCCTTTCGCCAGGAGATGTTTCCGCAGAACCTCAGAACCTTTGCGGTTTTCAGATTATTAGCAGAGATAGGCCATTTGTGGCATTCGCGACAACGACAATGAACGTGCCTGGTTTTGGGGCAGGGCTCTAACACCGATTCCGACTTCAAGTCGGAGTCCACTCTGCATCCTTGCCCCTGTCGGAGGGATGGCAATTTTTCACAGTTACTACGCTCACTCGCAGCAGGAAGGAAATTAGTTTAGGCAAATTGTGCGGCTTGTAAAACACGACGGACGTTTACCTTGGCCAGTCGCAATTCATAAAGATGTGCGTGATTGAAACCAGACGGAAACCAGAAGGACTCGCCGGACGGATACGGACACGGACACGTACAGCAAGCAACTGCATTAGCCAGACCTGGCCACTGAGAGCTCAAGGCTCCTGTCTGTTTGTTCATTGTAAGAGGTGCAACTTTAAGTGAAAAGTAAAGTTCAAATCGAGTTGAGAAAATTAAATTAAAAGAAAATAATCTTCGAGTGGCCGAAGAAGGGATACCCTTGCCCTCAAATATTGGAGGGCAAGAATAATAAGTATGCGATTAAGATTTATGACCTTAACAGAAACATATTTTTTGAGGACTAGGCTCTTTGGTTAGTCCAAAGATAGTAGGGGGAAAGTATATGGTATTATACTAATATTTAAATAAAATACTTTGAATGGAAAAATGAACTTAAAAATTCCAAAAAATCATTTTCAAATCACTTAAAACTTTAGTGTTAGACTTAAATTGGTAGTTTAGTTTTTTAATGAATTTTAAGTAAAATTGAAATATTCGAAATACTTACATCGTAATTCTCGGGCAAACCAGGCGGGCCCGGCGGTCCCGGCGGACCCACGACCCCGGGCATACCGTCGACGCCTGGCTCGCCCTTCTGCCCCTGGGCACCTTCCTGCCCCCGGGCGCCTCGGGCTCCAGGCACTCCGGTGGCTCCCTGGTTGAGTCCAAAGCATGATGCGAGTTGGAGGGGAAGAGAACGTCGCCGGCAGCGACAGAGAAATAAATCACATTAGTGGGCGTGCATATAACGTGTCGTGGGCCCTTAGTTCTACAAAGTTCTACATGGTCTACGGACTACAAGCTACAGACTACGGAGTACGAAGTACGGTTTCAAGGAGGTCCCGAGTTGGGGTCTCTAACTGGCTGCGGCTGAGGTCGATTTACATAATCGTTGCGTTTTAGTCCGGGCTCATTAATCTACGTGGTGGCATGTGGTTCGGTTTCGGGCGGTTTTCGGGAGGCCTCTGGGGCTAAGGCTAGCATTCCAATACCGACATGGATGGGCACACAAAAAATGTGTCTCCCAATGTTCTTAATCTTATGCAAAATGGTCACGCTGCGAGCCATTTGCGTGCCATGTTCTTGTAGCACTGGTGTAGCTGTTGCTTATCGTCGTCTTTTAAATTAATTGCTATTAGTTAAGGGATTAGCAGTGGGGCAACAAAGTTGTCGCAGGAATTTCCGGTATGCGCGCCAGCCTACCATTATTCACCGCGCTACCAAAGGCTTGAGGGATGGGCATTCATGGAGGAATGGGGTTTCAGGACTTAGCGGAGGGTCAGCGGCATACTTTCGAGATCCTGCACTCGCAAAATGAATCACTCAGTAATTTGTAATCTATTTGTAGCTGGTTTTGGGGTTAATGGCAGACAATATCTAAGATGTGGGGTTTTTGTGGGTAAATTACATTGTAATATAATTTCAAGCTTTGTATGAAAAGGATTAATTTTTTCTAGGTGTATCTTTTTGGGGTCGAGGCCTGGCATTTTCCCCTAGCATTTAGCTCTCGGCAATGGACCACAGAATGTCCGGCATACCGCTTTCCTTTTGATGTATTGCATCGCATTGAAGAGGCTGCGTTCCACAGGTTGCTAGAGTGGTGGCCGAAAAAAAAAATATTTTAAAAACGAGGACACCCGGAGAGGGAAATCCAAAATTGAATGGAAATGTCTGCCATGTTTGGCCTGCTTTTGCTTTCGCTTTTTTGAATAATTCCAAGAGCAATGGACGTCTCTACATGTTCGGTTGTCTCCTCAAAGTTTTGGCTCTGTTGCGTGATAAGCACTTGAGAGCGAAGAGCCGAAATCGGAGTAGGGGGAGCTTGTAACATTGTGGACTTTCGCCTTTGACCCGCAAGAAAAACAGGGGGCGTGAGGCGAGTGGGACAACACACATGGCTTGAAGTAAATGGCAAGTACATAGTCAAGTGTAGTTCACAGACATACACAGAGTCATATATATCCTTTTGTGTATCCAGAGTGAACTCTTATGGTTGCCAAAGACGTTCCCAGTTGATGAGATAATATAACGAGTAGCACCCGGAGAGTGGATAAGTGTTTAAGCGTGAGCTGGCACATAAAGAAATTTTCGTTACGATTCCTTCTCTGTGTGTGTGGGTGGGTGCGTTAACGTTTTTTCCATTTCCGGTTACACGCACACCCGCCACACACTCACACTAACACACACACACACCCTCAGTGCACTGTGCAAATTATGATGTTTGACATAGGAAAACATGCAGGATCCCCAGATCCCTCGACCATCTTCCATCTCCCTAGCATCTAGCATCTACCAGCAGGACCGGCACTCACTCACTCTCGAAGATTAGACGATGTGTGTAATGAAATTGAAAATGTGTTAGATTCATGTCAAATATTGCCTTTAGCCAACCCGTTGTAAGTTGAAATTGCCGTACACACAGAGATAGCATAAGCCCCCGAGGAGCGAACGACGAAAAAAAAACAAGAAGGAAGATTAGCCGCCTGAGATGGTCCTGAGAATCAGTTAAAATCCAGGAGACTGTGTCCTGAAACATTCACTAGACCCTATTCTATACTATACTATAATGTCCTCCCGAGGGAATTGATACTTACGGTGTGACCAGGGGTTCCGGGCTTTCCGTCCTTGCCATCCTTGCCGGGCACTCCACGCAGCGTCTCCCGCAACGACTCGTTGTCCTTGATGGCCTCTAGGATATCAGACGCATTACATGTACACTCGCCAGTGTATTTCTGCGAAGGATAAAAACGAAGCGGAACTTAGCACCTCGCCAAGGATCCAGGTATCATATAACCAGGGCACATCATTATGACAGGCAATTTTGCGTTGTCTGCCAAAACGGCAGGGAGAAAAAATATATATTTCCACAATAACAATTGAAATTTGAACTTGAGATTGTATTCAATTTTTGGGCGGATAGCAGAAAGTAAAAGTAGATTTTATAATTTTATATTAAAACTGTTAAAAAAAACTCTAAAGAAAATAAAGGAAAGCTATCTTCAAGTTGGTATACCCTTCAGTTATGTGGTAGTCTTTCGTCAAAAATTATAATAACAAACATATTTTTTTCTCCTTGCAAGTGCCACTGGCGGAATAGGTTTCATGATGCAACACTTACAGCCCCCGCACTCGTTGTCTCCACAAAGGGCGGATAGACGGCCGGCTCCCCTTTGGGCCCGGGTGGACCTGGCGGCCCCGGAGGACCCCGTATACTGTCCCCCTTCGGCCCCCGCTCTCCCTTCTCGCCCTTGATGCCGCGGTACGCTGCAAAAAAAAAAAAGCAAAGCCATCGCATTAACATGAGGCATGAAGCACGGATTCCGGTGGCACTTACGTCTCTCGTGCGTGTACTGCGTCTGTCCCGGGGGCATGCCACTGGCGTCGAAGATGTCTGTCGCCTGTGGAATGGAAATTGAAAACTCATTAAGCCGTGAGTGCAAAGTGGTGTTGGAAGGCATCGGATTGGAAGGTCCTGGCAGAGGACCAGGGCGGAATAACAGAGAACTTATGACTAAATATAAATATTTAATTATGCCGAGTGCAGCCACAATGTTGACCGGGATCCCCATTAGTTGGCCATTTCGAGAGCCCTGTCAACAATGGCCGTGGCAAAACAATGGCCCTCCAAGTCCTTGGCAGCCATTTAAATGCATTATCATTTGCATTCAAACAATTATTTACAATTATCATTAAACTAACCTCGGAACTTGTACTCCAAGAATCAAAGCTGGAAAAATCGAATTCAGTCGAATCTTCGAAGGTAAAACCCTTGGGACCAAAATAAAAAGATAAAACATAAAGGAAATGGTTTGAAAAAATAAGAAAGAAAAACGTACCTCTCCCGATCCATCAAGAAGGGAATCCTCATCCTTTAAAAGGGGATATAAATAATACATATAAAGCCAAAAGTATAAACTCAAAAAAGGGGTCAATCAGGGTAATAAATAAATGTAAAATGGTATAAAATAAGCCTTTAACAATTATTCTCTTTATGGTCAATTTAATAAAAGAAATACGATTATCACCACACCCCACTTGCAATGCAAAATATCATTATGAATTTGCATTCTTAAGCCAAGCAGCTTATCCTTTGGAGCTGTCGAAGCCCCAAATATGACTTTGTTGCCCTCGGATTAAAAATGCATATCCATATTAAAGCATCTGATTACATGTTATTCGCAGCATTAGTAGTCTCAATAATTGAACGCAAATCCTATGCAAATATTCCCTCGCTTATGCAGATGAAATGCAATTTTAATGCAATTTATCAGTAAGATGATTGCCGGCTAGGCTCTCCATTCGGCTGACTATTCATTAATTAATTTAAATCCGAGCCAATGCATTTCACTCTGCGGATTTTAATGTGGTGACAATGTCGATGTGGGTATTGTGGATGTGGATATGGATGTGGACTTACCGGCGTTGTGGGGGCAACCGATGCCTTTGGGGGCGGCTGGCATGTGTAGTTTATGGCATCGGGATTACCATAGACATTGATTTTTTCTAAATAGCCCTGCGTTAAATATTTACATGTGTGTTAGGAACTGTACAATTGCCAGCAGAATAATTTTCGAAACGTTTTCCACGCAGCACTTGGCCCCCACACAAATACATAATAAATCAATCAATTTGTGGGGATTTTATATATTTGGAAAATATGTGTTGACTCATAAAGCTGGCTCCGATCGAAGCCCCCGATAGTGCAAGTCTCTGCTCCCTGCTCCCGTTCGTAATTGCAGCAAATCGAAATTTATTATTGATGTTAATTTGCAACAGTCACTGCCACAGTCAGTGCCACTGCCACTGCCACTGCCACTGCCCTGCTGCCCGTATTACTAATGTGCCGTGGTTTCGGATTTAGAATTACAATTAAGCATGCATATTTCACATTAGCCCAGAAGGGACTGTGGCAAGTCGAACTGCTAACCGCAGATACTAACAGGATGGTAGCTGGCAACAGCAAACATGAAACTTCGAACCGGGAACCGGGAGTAGGGACTATCAAGACAATGAACCGCAAACACAATGCACACAGGGCAGGTTCTCGTCCCGCAGACTCACTTCCACAGATAGAGACACAAATGCTCACTGCACATTCCCCATAAACTCTGACCCGGCAAATAAAAATGGCAGCAAACACTCAGGCCCAGGACTCAGGTCTTGGGCCGACTAATCCCCCGTAATGGTAGTCCTCCTCCTGTTCCTCCTCCTGCTCCTGCTCCGACTCCTTCTTGTTCTGTTGCTTCTGTGAATGATAGTAATGGCCAAGGAGCTTTTATCCTGCAGCTCAGTTAAAAAAGTTTTGTCTGAGACGCTAACTCGTTGAATTTCGGGTTAAAAGCGTTCTGCCAAGGCCCACAATGGCTTAATATTCGAGCCAAGCCTGGCACAGAGACACAATCGAGATTCTGGATTCTGGTTTCTGGATCCTTGGTTTATGGCGAAGAAATAAATATATAAGAACAATCGCGATTGCCCAAACCTAGCCAGGGAGCTCTCAGAGAGATATAGACTCGAGTCTTTTGATTCCCAAAATTTAAATTCCTTTTAAAGAAAACTAAAATAAACTTTTGTATCTTTTGGCTTGAATATCTTTTTAAAAAGAACCGATTATTGCGTTCTTGAGAATGAATAGTTCCAAGTTCGTGTAAAACTTCAACTTCCTGCGCATAAACGACAGCAAACTTTGGCGGCAGGACAAAGGACAACTGGAGGGGCTTTGGAGATAGGGGCTGTTACACACACGTGCCCCATCAATAGACATTGAAGTGAGCATTGTTCCCATGTAGCTTGTTGCTGTTGTGCCATTTCGAGTGCGGATATTAAAGTTTTTGCCTTTGTTTCTGGCCCTGCTTTGTTTTGGCTTGGATTTCTGTGTTGGCTTTGGGTTTGTTTCAAGAAACTATGCGATCCGGCGAAAATCACTGGCCGGAGAGCCCAAGCATGAAAGCAATGTCCGTGTTTGTGTCCGGCTCTGTGTCCGTTCGTGCTCGCGTCCGTGTGGCCCAGTTACGGACACGAGGAAAGCACGTGCTTTTTGGCACAACCGCATAAACATACACGGTAGTGTGCAACAAAATTAGCAGCAAGGAAATTCACTTGAAGCGGAAATTAAGCAGCAGGAAGTGGCATTTTTGGGCAGGAGTCCGCGCCGCAAACGTCGCCATTTTGGGGCGTGTCCTGCATTCCCCGCGGTCAGGTAGATTGACAGCGGTTGCCATTCCGGGAAAGCTTATTTTCTATATTGCATTCTCGGAGACAGAATTTTCAATGAAGCCCTGTCCCCTTTTCGTGGAAATAATTACTGGAAAGCTCGAGCCATTTTATTAACTGTACATTTGCTTATCCGAGTAGAAGCCGGGGAAAAAAGAGAAACTATCTCGGCATCGCAAAAAGGACTTAACCTCGATGGCAATGAAAACCCTTTTCGGACCGCATTTCGAGCACGACAGAAATTCAGAGCGATGAACTGATAAAAGGACATCAAAGCCGGACTCCTGCGCAATATTGTGCACGACAACGAGCCGAAGAGAGGCAAGTAAATAAGTGCAGATAGAGAAATATAAGAAAAGTACAGGGTATTATATAGTAAACTCCTTTGTTTTCTCTTACTGTTTCATAATCGCATAATATTCCCCAATGCCAGGTGACCTACTTTGAACTTATATGCTCTTTCTCACAGTGTCTGTTGGGATTTTGGGACTGGCTGACACTCCCCCACTCTCCAGGCCCGTGACAGAGGGTCAAGCGCAGACAAAGGCCGCTTTAAATAACGAAAAGCTGGCCGCAGGCGGAGACACATTTCAGTGGCGGAGGAGGCTCCGCAGAGGATCCAGGCGGAATATGATATAATTTACAGGTGAGCGTTTAGCTCAACTAGGAGGAGGACCTAGAAGGTGGATAAGGAGCAGGTCGTCTCAGCTGCAGCAGGTCGGTCAAGTGCCACAGTGCCATGAGCAATTAACTGGGCCGAGAGTGCATGTTTGTGTGTGCGGCACATATGTTGTTCGGTGCATTTGTTGTTTGTTCTGGGCCGCACATAATTAAGGCCAGAAATGAACTGAAATGCGAAAGAAGCGGAGCAAGGACACGCCGTGCCGCCCAAGGGGCGGGGTGAAAGCGTAATATTTGTGCAGCGGTGAGGCATTCATTGCCTAGCAATGAATCCTGCTGTATCCTCAGCCTGACAAGGGTCTGCCCGAACCTGTCCCCTCCTCGTCATGGTCGGTGGCGTATTGAAAATAAAGCAAATAATACGCAAATCGTTGACCCTTTTCCATTTTTACTGGCCCAAAAGGTAGACTCCTCAAAAATGCCAGACACGTATTACGTTGCGAGTGGCAGGAAAAAAGGGACTACAGGACGCCGAGCTGGAGCTGCCACTGCGTTTGGCCACAAAGGCTATCTGGCAATTTGTCAAAAATGTGTCAATAATGGAGATCGATTGGGGGCTCTTAAAAATTAACCGAAAATGGAATCGCATCCACAGGGCGAACAAAGGGACACGAATGTCTGACAAGTTGAAATAAATCAATTGCCAGGACACACCATTCAAATAAAAAAAAAAGTATTCTGTACTCTAGTTAGCCTTGCAAAAAATTAGGAAGTTCTTCGAAAAATTACAAGTTTTAAGCTAGGAACCTTTGGAAGGATAATGCATCCACTAAGCAAGCAGGCCATCGGCTGCATGAGCGACATCTTCAATCAGCGCATTTGGCGCATCCAGGCATTCCTGAAAATGTTGCTCGTCCAGCAGAACAAACCTGGAGACGACCCCGGACCCGAACCCGATTACTACATCTTTTGCTGCGGTCTGCCGGTCACCAATATGAAGGAAGCGGCCGAGTTCATAGTCTCCACCCTGGAGGACATGCCAGAGGATCTGGACCGCCTGGGAGAGATGATCCGCGAGCAGGTGATCTCGTCCCCGGGCGAATTCTGGAACTTTGAGGCAAGCCAGAGGTACTACTCCAGGACGATCAAGGATCTTAGGCAGCTGGGCAGCCATATCTTGGTGCTGCGAAAGCTTTGCGAACAGCTGATCTGCCGCCGTAACTGGATCGTCCTGCGGCAGGTTGAAAGCCTCCAGGATCAGACCCGGGCAGAGGCCTTCCGCAGTCTTCTCCGGACCTTCGACTTCCAGGCCTTCGATCACCTTTGCCAGGCTATGCGATCCTTGCTCTCCTTCATGCTGAAGCTTTACCACGTCTCGGTGACCAAGGGTTTCGACTCAACAGATCTCTACTTGTCCGAGATAATTCCCGCCAAGCTCTGAAACAGTGGCCCGAAATAAAAACAAATATTAAAGTCTGGTCCTAAAGGCCCACCAACCCACCTACTCCCCCTGTGTGTTTCGAGAGTTAAATTCTTAATTAAGCACAAATATTTAATAAGCGGAATTTACGGCATGCAGCATCAAAACAAAGGAAAGCTTTAGGCATTAAGATTATCATAAACTTGTTTCCGCTGATGCTGCTCTGTGCTCAACAGGGTATGCTCGACTTGGGGTGCTCTCAAGTCCTAAAAGGATGAACTTCTTTGGACCCTCCCGAGGTAATAATTCAAAAATTCGGAATGGAATTCGCTTTTATTTCCACTCGCAAGTACAGAGCATCAGGGAATTCACTAAACTTTCCGGCGTGGTTATTATTTTTACGTCCTTTTGCAGTTCCTCCTGCCTGCCATTGCCAGGACGCGAGCGGAAACGGATGTAGGTATTTACATCTCGCTCTTGCACACTCAAAGGCTCCTAATTCGTTTCTCGTTTTGGGTGTGGAGGAGTATCTCTGCATTCGTTTTCACTGCACCCTCTTACTCCCTCACTCCCTTCCAAAAAAATATAAACTGGCGGAAAAGTTATGCCCAAGTTAATAGATAATTAACCATGCAAATTGGCGCGCAACAGTTTACAGATACGGATATCATCCTCGTGGTCCTCGTCATCTCCAGGATCTTTGGCAGCGTCATCGTTTCCCTGTCGCTCTGTCACCGGTGACATGCGTAAGCACTTTGACTGCCGCCGACTACCTGTGCCATCTCCGACACTAAGAGAAACTTTGAGTCAATCATTATTATTATTCAAGCGGATTTCCAAAGGTTGAGTGAAAAATAAAAAGCTTTGGCTTTAAAAAAACAATCTTGAACTAAAATGTCAAGCAACAAAAAATATAATGAATGGAATAATAATATTGAGGTCTAGTATATAACTAGTCATTAAAAATTCTTAAAATTCCATTGACATTTTAGACTTGATAGATGGAAATTTATTCTCTCTGTGCATTTGTGCCACCTGGCAGGTGGCAAGTGGCAGTGGTAGCGGCAGCGGCAGTGACTGTGTCTGAGCCTGGAACTGGCGTGCGTTCAAGTACAAAAGAATTAACTCTAATTACTTTGTAATGTTGATTAAGCCTGTTAGAGCGCATTAAATATGTAAACGACGTTTTGACATTTTCAGCATATTTGCGAGAGCTGGTTTCAAGTCGCGATATGTGAGTTTGGCGCCTCACTTTCTGGCAAATATAATTTGGCCGGAATTTGACTTCAATTAGCTACCCACAAAAACGGGCTAAAAATTGAATTTCAATTCATTCTCAAGGCACTTCCATGGCCCACAAATGCCCGAATTTAAATTCAGCTTTATAGCCAAACGGTCGACAGTCGACGGCAAACAAATGCCAATTCCGCGCCGAGCCGCCACCGACCTGGCCAAGGTGGGGTCGGGTCATAGCATAGTTTCTAAATCACTTTCTGACAGCCGTTTCGGCCCTCAGCGTTACCAAAAAAAAAAAAAAAACAGAGAAGGAAAGGAAAATACTGACTGGAAAGCAACAGCGACGCCAGGATAACAATCGCAACGTCAAAAAGTTGCGCACTTTTTGTAATTTTATTTTATTTCCGTTTAAATGCGTGCCACACCCACACAGCCCACCCACTTCCACTGTCCCTCCCACTGGCTGGGCCACGCCCACTTCCTATCCCACTTTTCACTTTTGCGGATGAAGTGGGTTGTGGATTGGTGCGATTTTAAAGCTAAATTATAGCAACATAAATTTTTACGGCCCCCCGATTTCAAGAAGAGCCGGTGCCCAGGTGCAGGACTTAATTCTCTTTACTCTGCACTTGACTCCGGAGCAGTGGGTCCTTTTTTCACATTTTATTTTGACACTTGGCGGCCGTTTCACATTTTATTTGATGCCCATTTTCATTTTGCACCGCTTTTTGTTTTTGTTTCTGCATATAATCAGAATAAATTACTTTGCACATTTTGCGGCACATAAATTATTTAAGACGTAGTCGCATCAAAGCCGAGCCGAGCACATGACACAGGATATAGTGAGAGCACGGCACACATACGCAATACCAGAATACCCATTCCAGGATGTGTACAAATGTCGTGTGCTGCACAGAGTCCGTGTGCAGCGGGCTGAGGCGACTATCCAAATAGTAGCCGAGGCTCACAAATGAAAACATAAACTAAAACTAAAACGGAGCCCGGATCAGGACGTAAAGGGTAAAGGCAGCAGGAGGGGTTGGGAGTAGGGGGACCAAAAGGATCTGGGGACCGAAAAAACAATGAGACGGCAAATGCCAACCGCATAGTGACAGATTTTTTTTAATTTTGCTAAAAACCTACGACTAATTCTCAAACGAGCTGACACAAATCTCGAAAAGTTTTTGCGCCAGCCTGTCTGTTCTTTAGTCTCCTTCAGTGCCTATCCGGATATATATATATTATCTGACTAAAAAACATATATATATCCACTGAAGAAAAAAAGGTACCAAGAGGATGTCATTTACTTTTTTTGTAGATACTTGTTTGTCAACTACAATTAGTCAAGGACTTAGAACTAAGTAAGAAAACCTCTCGGAAAAATAATTTAAATCCTCAATTTATGTTTTTTAGTTTTGTCAGTGTTTCGGGGCCGGAGAGGCTGTTTCTGTGTTGGTTTAGACAGTTTCCTAAACCCCAAGCAAACAGACTGTGACAACGTTGCGTATACGCAGCGTAAGCCCTTCTCCTGGGAAACCAGATGCTGGCAACTATTTAGCACTCGAGATACACTCTAAGGAGATCTAGTAAGTGCTAGGAATATACTTCAGCCCTAGAACAACTCACTTCAATAATTGTACTCCACACATACCTCCTAATTTGGATTCCATCCGTCAAACCCGCAATGCAAACCCTAAAAATACCCAATAGACTGCTGGTCTCGGCTCCAAAGAACTCGAAGGGATGCGTAGAAGTCGGCGAGCTGCGCAGCTTGATCCTGGAACTGATGAAGCCCCGAACGGCCCAGATGAACAAGATTCTCCTGACCCGAATGGTGCCCGCCACGCGGGACGAGTACGATGAGGTCGTCATAGACTGGTGGCCCGACTACGAGCTGTTTTCGAACTCGCACGCTATCACCGACATGAATGTGAGTAATATTAGAGCTCTGTGTGAGATTCTAATGGCTTTCCTTAGGGCATACTGGTCTATACGAAGAAAGCCCTCCAAGGCATGCCGGACGACCTGAAGGCCATTGCAGAGAAGTTCGATTACGCTTATTTCGCCTCAAAACTAAAGAATCAGAATAAAGGCAAAAAGTACTACCTGGTGGCCGATCTTATCCAGGACATGACCGACTATGTGACAAACTTTGGTCGCCTCTGTACCCACATCATTGAGGAGCGAAGGCGCATCCACGATCAGGCCAGCGAGACCCTCGACACAGCCGACAGGATTAAGGTGAAGATCTTCGACGAAAAGAGCTTCGTCCGGCTGCAGACGCGACTCACCAGCCTGAGGAACTTTGTCCAGGAATTTTGTGCTCTCTTCGAGATCCCCTTGAAGGCGCCAGAAGAGTCCAACGTCGAACCCTTCAATAAGTTTGCCAATCTCCAGAAACCAATTCAAAAGACAGCCAAAGCTACAGACAAAGCCAAGGCCCAAAGTTAAGCTCCTTCGATCAGGAAGTCAGCTCGTTGTCTCCTTTTCCCAAGGCGTTACTTCATTGTGCTTTTACCGAGCCTGATATACAGATACATTTTGTACACGTAAGGCTACAGATACAGATGCGGATTCACGGCTCCTGCTCGGGCCGTAATAAAGAGTTCGCCTCCAGTGTATTGGAGTATCTGGGAAAGCTTTTTATGCTTCAAAGTCAATATATAGTGTGCCATGTACAGAGCGCACAGTTTTAAAACGGTAAGTATGCCTTTCAGTTACGTGGTCGTGTGTGGTGACACACTTACCCCCCCTTTCCCTCCGGACTGTAGGGGCAGTGGGGGTGGCCTAGCCTTCCTGCCTTCCTACCTTCTCATACCCATCCCCCCCTCCATCCACCCACGGCCCCTTGTCAATGGGCTGTTAGTTGCTCCGAGCAGAGACGCCATTCAAGCGGAAATGCAGCACCGAAAGCCGTCTGTGGACTGCACTGGGAGAAATACTGAAGCCAAGGAGTTGGGAAAGAGCTGCTCTTATTTCAAGATGATCTGTATTATTTGGGCAACTAATTGGAGTTCTAAATTCACGTAGCTATCAATAAAAAAAAATCATACAAAATGCTTTAGTGTCGAAAACTATATGGTATTTCTGGAATAAGATTAGTAGACTGTCTTCGGGTTCTTTTATACCTAGTACTATGCAATTTTCCTCACTGTACAAGACCATCGGGCACACGGCAACGAAAAAAGAGCCAGAACCAGAGCCAGAGGCAGAAACCTCCATGTGAAGTGTGTCATCAGTTTAAGGTTTTTGTGGGCAGCACTCACACATCCATGCACTCTTACAAACACACAGATACACCCACACTCTTAAACACACTGATGTACAGGACTACGATATGGAGCTCCACTCACGAGACCAAGCCAGCCCGTATTTTCATAATAAACAAATGGGTTGTATGGTTGGTTGGCTTAACTTTCGGGTTTGCCAGCAAGTCGCAGATAGCAGATAGCAGATATGCGAGACAGCCCCCGTAGCAGCTCTGCATCGTATTTGTTAGCACAAATCAGTGCTATTTATATTGCGGCAGTGGAAAGGTATACATCCTGCCATCCTGTCATCCCACCATCCTCCGCATAACCATGTCCTGAGTCCTTGCTGCTCCCTTTGGGGCATCGAAGTGCGTGGCGGTTGTCAACACGCTGGCAACTGCAGGGTTAAAATGCATCCAATTTGCACACCAGCGGGATAGTGTCGTTTACTTCGATGCCAGTGCACAGAAAAAATGAGAATCTTGTTAATATTTTACCCATTTAATCCCTACGAGGAATAGAAGGACATATCCCCTAAGAAATCTACCACAAATACTTAAGATGTAGGTATTTCTTCCGAATACCTCTAAATGGACAGCCAATGGCAGATTGCAAGACCTACTCTTTCAAGATATATATCTCACATTTTTCTCAGTGCCCTTATCTGCCAGATGCAACTTCCCGCTGCAGGTTGTCAGTGCAACAAGTTTGGCAAAAAGACGAAACTTTGTTTTGCCTATCTGGCTGTCGAAGCCGCAGAAGTCAGGCGAAAAGTTGCCTTTCGACTTTCCAGGCGGTATCTATGCCATCAAATTGGAACTACCATGAGGCAGCGGTGGGGCAGCAGAAGGGGCACAAACAATGGCTCCAACTCCAACTTCTGGCGCAGCGCAATAATAAATTTATTATGGACGCTTGGCGGGGCGTGTCGACATCGTCATCGACTTCCAAGGAGGAGTCGCCGCCCATACATCCCACCCTGTTCTATGGCACCGACGGGTGCGTGCAACGTTCCCTCTGCCTCGGCCCCCCTTGCCCGATAACTCACAGTTATAGTGGCATGCTGCGCTTTAATAAAATATTATCATAAACGTAACGGAAGCTAGTTTTTCATATGCTTATATTCCCAGGCCCAGGCTGAGGCCCGGCCCGTAGAATCGTATCAAAATATCCGTATCCGTATCCGTGTGCCAGCTCCTTCCTCCTTGCTCCTGGCTGCTTGGCAGGCGATAGCATGGGGTATAATATGTTTTCATAAATCAAATGCACGGAGAGGCAAGTCGTTCAATATTTAATGTTTTGCCTTTTGGAATTTATACACATCAGGAATGTTGGGGATTAGATTTGAAATTTTCTGGGAATAGAGCTCTGAAAATACACAGTTTGGATAGCAGGATTTACCTATTTCATTGAAATTGTTACTTAGGTATTTCAGGTATTTCAGTTTATACGAAAAATTATGCACTTTCAGGATGCAGGGGCTGCACAACTAAGCCTTTGGGGTTTCCTAACTGCCTCCATTTTTTATTGCTCTATCGAAGGATACCGTTCTCTGTCATCTACGACCTCATTAATTAGAATTGCGCAGTAAACAAATGACAGGCAGACAGTCGGGATCGGGAAAGGACTCATAAATGTCCGACTATTGACGGCAGTGGGCCGCCAGACTAAATGCATTAACTATAATTGGCTTTCGACTAATTTCGCTTTCGGGTAATTAGGCACTAATGAAACCTAATAGACCTGCCACGCAAGCCACATGTCCCGACCCGCTGGAGTTGGTAACAAGAATGGGAATCTGTCAGTAAGCCAACTTCGCCTTTGCCTCCCTCCAGCGCCTTTGTCCTGGCAGTGGATAACCACCTCGTATTAAGCAAGGACAAATTGCCTGTCAATCTACGTGTAATTTTTATAAATTTCCAATTGTGCGGCTGGCGTGGCTTTCGCTCCCCACTTATCCAGCTCTCTCCTTGCCTTTTCCACTTTCTCCGCTTTCTCTGCCTGCCACCCAGTAGGGAGTAAATAGGCAATCGGCTGATTTCTTGCGTCATATCCGTGTATGCATGTATATGTTGGTGGTAACGTAAATCCACAATCCAATATACACTCACATATATATATAATCCTAAATAAAAAATACATATTGACCTTTCATCCGACCCTGACATAAATATGTCTCCTGCAAGAAAGTGTCATCCGCCCCTGACATAAATAGAAAGTGATAAAAAGGGATCGCAGCAGGTCAATTGGTTCCTTTTTTTCTTGACCCTTCAGGGTGGATTTTCACTTTTCTACGAAAAGGTTTTCTTGTGATATACTTACTCCTTGTAAAATTCTGTATTATAATTTATATTATAAAATTAAATTTTTTTATATAAGGCCGAGTTAATTTAAAATTAATTAAAAAAGAATTGGAGAAAAAAATCCTTTTAAATGATATGCAACACCATAATAAAATTTTGAATATTTTTTTAAAATAATTATTTGGTCTTCATCATTAATTTTAAATTAATTACAAAAGAATTGTCGTAAAATATACTTTTAAATGAACTGCAGCAACATGAATATAATTTTTGTAAATAAGCATTTTTTTTTTTGTTCATCAATTTTATTTATTTTTTCACAATCCTGAATCTTATTTATTTTTTCACGATCCTTTTTTCACGATCCTTTTTTCACGTGGGCAGTTGAATTGGTAGGGAATTAGGCAAACGGCGTATAAGCGGCAGAAAAATTCTAGTAGTATGTAATTAGGCAAACGGCGTACGACGTAAATTTAGTGGCGCCATCTATGGGTCAAGTTTGTGTAAAATTGGGCAGCGCCATCTACCGTAATATTTTATACGCCCTCTATTGGCATAAAAGCAAACGATCATGCCAAAAAATTATACTTGCCAGGATCATCGCCGTCTATGTTTTCTATATTTTCTGATATCTTGTCTATGTTTTCTATATTTTCTGATATCTTGCATTGGGTCCCATTAAGGGAAATATGCATGTAAAGAAAAGATCATGTAAAAATGAAACTTGCTAGGATCATCGTTTGCCTAATTACATACTACTAGAATTTTTCTGCCGCTTATACGCCGTTTGCCTAATTCCCTACCAATTCAACTGCCCACGTGAAAAAAGGATCGTGAAAAAAGGATCGTGAAAAAATAAATAAGATTCAGGATTGTGAAAAAATAAATAAAATTGATGAACAAAAAAAAAATGCTTATTTACAAAAATTATATTCATGTTGCTGCAGTTCATTTAAAAGTATATTTTACGACAATTCTTTTGTAATTAATTTAAAATTAATGATGAAGACCAAATAATTATTTTAAAAAATATTCAAAATTTTATTATGGTGTTGCATATCATTTAAAAGGATTTTTTTCTCCAATTCTTTTTTAATTAATTTTAAATTAACTCGGCCTTATATAAAAAAATTTAATTTTATAATATAAATTATAATACAGAATTTTACAAGGAGTAAGTATATCACAAGAAAACCTTTTCGTAGAAAAGTGAAAATCCACCCTGAAGGGTCAAGAAAAAAAAGGAACCAATTGACCTGCTGCGATCCCTTTTTATCACTTTCTATTTATGTCAGGGGCGGATGACACTTTCTTGCAGGAGACATATTTATGTCAGGGTCGGATGAAAGGTCAATATGTATTTTTATTTAGGATTATATATATATGTGAGTGTATATTGGATTGTGGATTTACGTTACCACCAACATATACATGCATACACGGATATGACGCAAGAAATCAGCCGATTGCCTATTTACTCCCTACTGTAGGCTCTAGGCTCTAAGCGTTATCTTTTCTTTCGAGTCTTCTGATTGGTTTTCCCGATTCATTAACCGGAAAAATGTGGGGAAAATGGGGGTGGTTTTCATGCGTTAACTCATGTACATGTATTGATGATACCAATACATTCAAACACAAGTACCTGTTTTCCGTTTTCGAGGATCAATAGGTTTTGAGGTTTATGCTAAGAATCAAATTTTTAGTATAAATCCAAATCCTAAAGAAAGAGTTTGAAGTTAAAATATAAAGAAAAAAAAATGAGCGAGCTGGAAATTATATTCGAGGATACCCAACCAGCACTTAGTGATATTTGTGTATCAAACGGTGCACTTTTATCATTAATTGGTATTGGGAAAAATACACAAGAAGAGCTATTTAATAATCTACAGGATGATTCTCTGACATCCATGTACGATTTGCTAACTCCAACATGGGATTACGAATTAACTATCATCGAGGATAAAATGTATGTCCCGGACACTCAAGAAAATATATTTGAGGATTTCGACGACGACATACCTGCTTCTCCGTGCTTTATTCCGGAGACCCCAGAACTAGTGGAAATATCATCAAAACCAGAGTTT